AATAAAACACAGGATACTTTAATGCGGAGATAGGCTTCCTAGGTGCAAAAATCGGAAATCTATGCAGACGAAATTACTAGCACAAGGCATAAAAATATAATATTATGATGTACCTACCTACAAATGTCAATAAAAAAATTCTATTATCTAACAAAATTTAACAATTAAGTAATAATGTATGAATATGAAAATAAAATATTTGGATTGAATTTATTCTCTTCTAGTACAATAACAAAAAATCCTGGCACCGTTCCACATTCTTCGTGAATTAACAACTTGTTTGTACTTCGAGGTGCAGTATGTAGTAGGTGCATACCTACCATACCAACGTACTATTAAATAGAATACCTACTTACTACATACTGATTAACGCAATCGCCGCTTACTTCACAATGATACACAACATCTGCACGACATCTGTGTTACAAATTGAAGAGAAATCTCTTTAGGGTTCCGTATAGGTAAAATACCTAAAACAAAGTCAAACTGCGTCTCAAACTCAAAATCAATTCGATATTATCATTTTTTTAAGTACGCCTAATTTAAATTATAACCGCCGATTTTTTTTTGTTTCCTCCCATGCGGGGAAGCAGATGTGAAATCCTCATGTATACCCTACAGTCCACCTGCTGCAAGGTTATGTCAGACTCTTACTGACTAAAAGCTTCATCTGAAAAGCTGTGAAAAAACGAAACTTCTAAGTTAACGGAAAAAAAGATACGGCCATTAATGTTGCGTATCTACGAATTTGTACGGAACCCTCGATAGATGAGTCCGACTCACACTTGTCCGGTTTTTTATTAACTTTCATTCTGAACATTAATACTGCGCTATGTGAAGTGTTAGCAAGTATAAATAAATAAATAAATAATAAATATTTCCAACACTCACACCGATTAGTCTAGCCCCAAAAAGTAAGCACTATAAGGCTTGTGTTATGGGATACTAGGGTAATGGATAAAATACATATACTTTACATATATAAGTATATTTATATAGAAATACATATAAAACATCCATGACTGGAGTACAAATGCTCGTGTTCATCACACAAACATCTGCCCCCACCGGGATTCGAACCCGGGACCTCTCGAGTCGGCGACGCCATGAAACCCGGCGTAGAAACCACTCGGCCACGGAGGTCGTCAAAATATAGGTATACTAGTTGCTGAACACGTAAAGACTACTAATTAATCTTAGAATAGACGCATATTAAACGCACTTTATTTACATAGAATTTCATGAAAAAGCTATAGATTAACTACCTACATCAGAATCATCAGAATCAGCTCTAATGTACTTAACAAATTAACGGCCGTACTCAGAGATGACCCAAGACAACGGTCAACTAGAGCCGAAGTCCGAGTTAGTTAGCCGACTAGTTGAGCCGACCCCCTCAGGATCGAGTGGTTTAGAGACTCCAGGCGGAGAGGAGGAGATCAAGAGGGAGATACCATTCGTCTTGCCAATTCTCGGCTTGAGGTTGAGGTCCCTCTAGGATCTCGCTGCCCCCAAACCCGGTGACGCTGTAAAGGTCATCTGCAACCAACAGTACACACACATAAAAAAAGCTCAGTGATGCATACTATCTATCGCTATCGATGAAAGTGATTGTACCTAGTGGTCCTAATTGGCCCTGACATGAGGATTGATTCAGGCAAAACAATTGGTTCGAATCTCTATTGCTAACAGTTAGTGATATTCAAGCAATTTACCACAATTTAGCCAAGTTTATGTCTGACTTTACATATTTTTGACTACTTAGTGGCCTGCACTCGCTTCGCTTTGAAGGCTACACTTTTGTTTTCAGGCTTGTATTGTACAGTGGTCCGCCCTCGCTTCGCTTCGGTTTGCAACTGTAGTGTATTTATGCACTTTTTTTGGTTGAACGCACAAATCTTAGGAAGTTCTGTTTCGTTTTGAAAAAGTATTTTTGTGTTGGATACTGCATTTATCGAGGAAGGCTATATGTTAAATAACATTACGCTACAACCAGTAGGAGCGGAGCATCGATGAAAATTATAGAAAATCGGGTAAAATATTCCATTTGTGAGCTTCCGTTGCGTGCGCTGGGTAAACGGTCAAACTAAGAAAAAAATCATGTATTACGCATTCTCTAATGTTTCTTGGAGTTTTTAGAACTCCTGAAGCTCAGTCAGCTTTCTCGATAAGCTTCTGTGAGGTAGTCAACACAACAATAAAGTTCTCACTTCCACTTAAATAGCGTATATTTGAAAGATTCCACTAATTCACAATATCCACTATGAACGAATTAAAGAATAATAAAAATAAGACGCCAACCGCACTCGATAAAATCCCGCCAAATCGCGATAAACCTTTTTCTCCCCTTATAATGTCAACCCTCCTTCCTAACCTCAAATCGCACGTAATATACTTTTCAACACATTTACTCAAAAAAATGCATTTATGGAGGTTATATACATAGTTCGAAAGTTCAAAATTATGGGTCACACAACGGAGCGAGCGGTAAAACGTTTTACCGCACGCTCCGTTGAGTGGCCTACTACTCCCATGCATGGCGCCGTGCGTATTCTTTACGGTGTTTTTTTTATTTAGGTCAAACCTTAGAAGCTCTCTTGATCTATACTTTTGTCTCACTTTCATACTAAAAAGACCTCGTAATTCGTCAACTCGTTTGTAATAACCAACTTACCGCTTACTAATATCATAAATAACCATTTCCTCTTTTTTTCTGTGTTCTCTTTTGCTATGGGTTTCATCCTGTTCTGAATAATTTTCACTTTTTACTATTTTTAAAGGCATTGGTCGTGTAGGCCTTTTCGCTATCGGTTTTTGACACATATAAGTAGGGTTGCAACGATATATCGGAATATCGATAATATCGAGACCAAAATATCGATATTTATATCGATATTTAAAATTCACTGATATCGATAATATCGATATCGGATATTCCAAAATATCGATATTTCGTAGACTGAATTTAAACACAATAATATCAATTAATTTACCTGCTATGACTATCTAAATTGAATAATATCGAAATAACTATTGCTTTGAAATCGCAAGAGCTTATAGATTTATTAAAAAAATCTTGAACCCCAAGAAATATACTAAACTGGTGTGGATTCTGGCATGATTCTCTCAACCTAAAATTAAATTTGACAACAGTGTATCCTTGTCATTCTCTATACAGAATGATAAGGAGAGACTGATGTTAAATTTAGTTTTAGGTTTAGATAATCATGCCAGAATCAACACCAACGTATATAGGTATAATCGTATAACTAATGATAACTCCTGCACTTAAATAAAATCCTTGCCTCTCTTTCTAGATAATTGTCAACTACTGATTAATTGAAATTAAATATCATTGTAATATAACACAAAATAAAATTAAGAATCTTATACAAATCGTATTTTTTTAAGCTCACCAAGTCAAGAAAGTAAGATAGGTATAGTAATTTTTGAAGCTTTGGGCTTACCCTATTCCATGAAGCCATGGGCTCAGGCATCAGGGGCGACCCTGATGTGTGGGAGACTAAGCAATTTGCGTATTTGATGTGCGCTAAAAAACCGACATAGCTTGGAAAAGCACGAATGTAGTGAAAACTTAGCGAAGGCATTCGCAAATGTCGTCCCACATATGCGGGTTGGCGCATTCGTGCTAACAAATGTGAGTGATCTGGTCAGGATAATAATTTTAATTTTTTGGTTTCCTGTCGTGGCTGAAACACAAACCGTGCGAGCCAAAAAAAATCCTGCTTGGCGCGATTTCATCAAGCGTGTTTAAAGAAAAAGCTGGCTCAATGCATTTTGCGAGAAATTTGCCAACAAACATATGAATGTGTCACACTCACCCCGTATTCTAATGTCAATAAAAAAAAAGAAAAAAATATCGATATATCGATAATATCGAGTTAAAATGGTCGATATATCGGATATCGATATTTTCCTGACTTCGATATAAATATCGATATAATATCGATATTTCAAAAGACTTTACATCCCTACATATAAGTGATAATCACCGAGTTATTTACTGATCCAGTAATGCTTTATTAAAACGCTACTAAGATATTTAAATGAGAAGCATATCTGGATACGCAATTTGCTCTTTAGTTACACACTAAATGTCACTGTCAAAATAGTTATAATGGTGTAATCAACTGGTCCTAAACGTCAAACCGGTAGGAACCCTTGCACAAGTCCGACTCGCACTTGACCGGTTTTTCCTCGTTTCTCGTTGTCTCGAAATATTGTGCTCTTCACAGATACAATTTTATAAGTTTTATACATCATATGACGTAGAATAATCTATAATATAATAAAATGGTAGGAAAGTCAAAACTAAACATTGAATATTTTTTTTAAGAATACTCAGGGTGTGATCTGCAATCGATACCGAAGCCAAAAATATAGTTTTTAGATTTTTTTGTCTGTTTGTCTGTATGTATGTCCGGGATAAACTCAAAAAAGTACTGCATGGATTTACTTCAAAGGCACGAATATTATTAAGAAGTCGGGTCAACATTTAGGCTATATATTATCACGCTATCACCTACGGGAAACGAGCAGTGAACCTTTATTTCTAACTAACTCCACGCGTACGAAGTCGCGGGCGACCGCTAGTGTAGAATAAAATTGTAGGTAACTGTGGAGTTTCCAAATCCTTTGTATTTGTATTAATATAGATGTGTTGATGGTACATAAATAAATCAATCAATCCTGCCATAATTGTAAAAAGTGAAAGTTTTATGTTTCTTACTCAATCAGACAGTTAGTTTATTGTCTAGATTAAGACATAGAATTCTTGTATTCCCGGAACAATTTAAGATTCCAGCACAATTCTCAAAAAACTATGCTTACGCGAACGAAGTCGCGGGCGTGCGATAGTTTAAAAAATTTTTACAAGAGTCTGAAGACTGAAATATAATTGATTTACCTACCTATAACCTATAATAAATAAGAGGTTTCATAATCATACCTACCTAATTGAAACATTTTCTTTGCTACAGAAGTCGTGATGACAATGGCGCTGAAGTGGAGAAGACTGGAAGAGGTTGGGCTTCCAGCACAAACCTCACAACTGATCCTTCCAAGAAAGACGCCTTCTCCACAGGTAACTTATCTTTTTGTTAAATAAGCAACAAAAATCTATTTTTTTTTGGCTATTATATAGCTATAGCTAATGATTTAATTTTTCTATTTCTGACCACCCCGAAGGTTTTTAAATGCCTTGCAATGCCTTCAAGTAAAGCTCAGTAAGATTGCGAAAAAAATAAGTTGGCTTATTATAATTCTTGGGTTATTAGGTTCACACTAGGTTAGTTTAGTGTAGCGACTTTGTGACCATGCCAAAAATTTAAGTTTCACCTTGAAAATTCGTTAACAGTAAGATTGAAATTGAATTGATTTAAAGGTTGTCTGGAAGAGATCGCTCTAAGCGATAAGGCCGCCCATTGTTACACTAGTTTTAATTGGTTATGTACTAAATTTAATGTTATATGTGTGTACAATAAAGTGTTTTGTATTGTATTGTATTGTATTGAGCAATGTCGCCGCCACTCTCTAATTATCCGCGTTTTCCCAAACATCCTACGACACGTAGATAAATGGCTCACTTACAGCAAATTTGTTAAATCTCGATTCAAATATAACTAAATTAAGCCCATATATTATTGTCAAATTAACATTGAAGTTTTGTAATTTTTCTATGGGTTAAAGCTAGTTTTAGTTGAATCGAGACTTGCAAATTTGCTGCAAGTGGTCCTTAGAGAATCAATTCCAAGGTGAAGATATTCGGTTATTGCCAGGGTTCAGCAGAACCAGCGCATCGTGGACGTCGACGCCGGACTTGGGGACCAACGACTCCGACTCCACGACCGCCGTCACCGTCAGCCTCAAGCTACCCAAGCGGAGGCTCACCGGGCCGCTCCCGACCATCGACACCGGCCAGACTCCAAACGTTACAAGTAGGGGGCCAATTGTCGTTGAAACAGTCGCACAGACCGTCCATCGAAACACGGTTTGATAAGTATTTCAACAGACCGGCGACATGACTTTGGTCGTTCAGTCCGCTCTATGACCAATCCATTCACGATCGAACTTGTCGCATACGACCAAAGTCCGTGCGACCATTGTAACGTGTTTGGCCCGTCGTGATACCTCACGCATTTCCCTATAATACCTATTCTATTGAGAGTACTGCAGAAGTAGGTGTTCCATACCGTGACTAGATTGCTCCCGCGTCAGGAATGTAAGTTGACGTTCTTAATCAAATCACTCGACACAACTACAAAAAAGTTGATGTTCAAATAACGCATTTCACAAATCATTGCAAAAATTAATCACATCTGGTTAACTTTTGACGTGACAACGTCTTAAATTAGGTTGCGGCTGGGAGTCACTTATGAAAAAGTGTAACGCTCGGTAACGTTACGATGAGTCTCTCGTGTTAAGTTTAAGTTTACATGTACAATGTTTTAGTAAACAAAATATATTTCTATAGTTAAAATTTGTGCAATTCTTATTTTCATTCAATTCCTTGTTCCTATTGTGCAATTTAATTATATTCATATCAATAAATATTCTACCGAGAAAAAGACGTTGTCACGTAAAATCTTCGCCCGTAAAACCGACTTTACAGGCAACCATTTTTTTAATAGCATCTTTAGTCTTGGGCAGAAATAAATCCTTCGCTTCATTCAAGATTCTTACCATAACATTACTATACAATCCTTCATTTCGCTCAGAATTCAATACGAAGCCCGTGCTTAATTTACTATTATTGGCATTATTGCAAAGGAAATCAGCTTGTGCGTTAAATTACCCGTTGCGGGTGAACCTAATTACGTCTTATTTTCATTTATTGCCCCATCAATAAGTATCGAGTATACATACACCACAACTGTGCGTCCGATGTGCTTGTACGCGACACATACAAAAACAGAGCAAAAATGTAGCATGCATATTGTTGCGACGTAAAAGTTGCGCGCATGTAGCCTGTAGCTCCGGTGTGCAACATCATTTACTTGACATTTTGCTAATACTAATTATGAAGAAATTTTAAATTATAAAGAATACTTACAACATTTTTTAGTTGTCAAAGAAGAAGTACCTAATATTGGCTCCAGAGGTTGCAAGATCATTTCCGTTCACGTTGCACCTTAACATGACGATAAAAGTCAACGACCCTACTTTATGACCACAGCAACTTCACTGCCAACCATTACTATTCTGCTACCGATGTGGAAATAATTATGGGAATTGGCTCGGAGTCAACTACTCAAACGGTAGTTAGTCGCTAATTGTACAATTACCTATACACACGTAATGAATAACAAAAGGGTGAATTTCGTTACCTTTTAGATCAGTTTTAGCGTAGATTGATCTAAGTCCTGAATGAAAGATATAATTATGATTTTATTTATTTTTTAAGCATTTAACTGCTAGATGTTTAAATCTAAAAAAAAGTTTACTAGAAAAAAAAAAGATGTAATTTTTGTTTGCAACAACATAAAATTCGGATGTCGGTTGTTTTGTTATGTTGATACAAACCAACTTTAAGTGTGGCTTAAGTTGGTATCTCCTTCTTTGCTTAGAGTCGCCTAAGTATAAGTGTAAACGGGCATTACCCATGCCCCTGTCCCTGTGCTTATATGGAAAATACAAAAAAAACTGCTTCCACAGAAAGTATGGGCCAATTCAAACTAAGCCACGAAGCAAGTATAAGGTGTATGAAAACATCACAAAGTAAAGTACGTCACCGACACGCTGTTATGTTCTGTTTTTCTTTGCATATGTATAATTATTGAAACGAATTTCCTTTTCGGGTGGTGTATGAACTTGGCGGATGGGGACTAAACAAAAAAAAGTGTAAGATTTTTCCGTGACCATCGTCAGTTGTTTCGTAGTGTATTGTGTGTAGTTGTGTATTTTTATATAGGTACTTATGTTTATTTTTAACTTCGTTCCAGCTGAGTATTCCTCGACTCTCACATTTGCTTTTTTATAGTACTTTTTATTTTGAAGATTAAACCGACCCTGCCTTATGTGGCATTCGGTCATGTCTTGAATTCAATGTCTCAAGTTAAATTAAGAAATACTTTACAATTGGTTCCTGTACCGATATTTTTTTTAGATTCAATAATTGTAGCATAAAAAGATTTCACATTAAATTAATAGCTTAATATCTCTAGCTGCAGCAGTGGGATGCCGATTCCGTTCCACTGTGAGTCTGACGTTAAGGCTTCATAGGCCTCTAGGCAAAATACCTATGTGACGGGATGATATTCAATAACGATAACTAAATATACCTAACATAATTTATGTACTTTCAGCATCGGACACGGTGACACTGCGACGACCGTCCCCATCTCCGCCGCCCGCCGCCGCGTCTATCGTTATATCCAAGAACGATTCGCTCGCAGAACGCGTGCGCAAGGTAAACAAACGGTCACAAATACGCCGTACGTTTTTAACAAACACAATATTTAAAATCTGCGCAGACGAGGGACTTTTATTCGTGGACTTTTTTGTCCGCCAAAATAGATCGCTTCCAATTGAGGGTCTATTTCCATGCTAAGTAAATGTTGATAAAATTAAAAAAACCTATGCTGATTTGATGATGTATGTGAAGTGAATTTTTCTTTATTCAGGTAATTCATGTGGAGGCCACTTATTTTTAGGGTATTTTTTTTTATTATTGTGGAAAATAGCATCTTTTGATCTGGAATGATAATAAAATTAGCTTGAAAAATAAACTTTTTGAAGGTTTTTTTTTTTGATTGGAAGCTACATTTATACCAAATATATAGAACAACTTGGCATTGATTAATTGTCATTACATTTTAAGCTAAAAAAATGCAAATTTGATAGACATTGCCCTAATGCATATTTTTTTATAGCTTTTATCGCGCGCTTTGAGCGCTGCGACCGAGTCAAGAAATTCCCTAACGAAAGAAACATTACGAGATTGCATATGATACCAATAGAACACATTTTTCGCCATTCCAGTATCGATCTAAACGGTGCAGTGTGTTAAATTTTTGCCACGGGACCAACGTTCGACGCATCACCGCGGTCGTCGTTTCAAACCCGCACTCGTATTTTTTTATCTTAAAAAGTAATGACAATTAATCAATGCCAAATTGTTTTATATATTTAGCATAAATGTAGCTTCCAATTGAAAAAAACTTCATAAAGTTTATTTGTTGATGAGCTACGATCAATTGTTTATAAAGCAGTGGCACTTTTGATATAAACAATTAAATATCTGGAGAACCATCAGTTGTAGAGAGTTGTGACTGGTCTCATTGTTTTTCTTGAGAAAAGCTCTAAAAATTACACGTATCATGTTTTGATCTCCGATACGTTGTTTTCAAGATATTTAATAAAAAAGGCTAACTTTTTATAAACAAAAAATCACATTTTGCCATGCGGTCACAAATTCATACTGATGTGTGCCGTCACTAAGAACAACCTAATGAACAAAATCGGCTAATGTTCAACGGACTTTCATTTTCAAAAGCATATTGACTAGACTATACTTTTTGCAATCACTCAGAAATATTCTTGGCTTAGATACGAGTATTGTTAAAATTATTTTGGAAAGAACCTATTTCATACTCGTACTTCATAATACGGAAAAAGCTCTTCTGAACAAAATGTTTTTGCTAAGCGAGTATTCTATAGAAAATAGCCCTCTTTGAAACAAAATATTATGTGTCGAACAACAACTTTTAAATGAGCTAAAAATAGCGCCGTTTGAATAGAATCGCGAATTTAAGTTTAACTTTGAAGGGGAAATAATCACTTTCGATCAAGACTCAACACAGGCTGTGATAGGATCTTAGAATACCAGTAGAATTCACGATAAAAAACTATGAGTCAGTAAATACGGAAATAACCCCTTTTAAACAGACGTTCCTCAATTGCATCAAGTAACGCACATAAAAGTACCGCGTGCATAAAGTCCTCCGAACAGCTGAGAACACCGAGTGAGACGCCCGTGGACAAAAGTGCGCGGGTGTCCCCGAAAAAAATAGAACTCATGTGACTAGGCGCGGAAAAGCACGCAGCGAGTTTTAATCCGGCTTCATCTGCGCAGGCCATTAAGGATACCATTAAATAAAAATAATGGTAAATATTCTTAACAGTAGTTCATCGGTCGTCCATGAATTTCTGGGTTAATCTACTATTTATCCTTTGTCTAATAAAGGACATCGACGAAATCGGCCCTAGCATGCCCAAAAGAATGTCCTTCACTATTATTTTTCTATTATTTTTTTAACTTATTAGCAATTAATCATAGTAAACGGACAATCTGTTTAAAAATTAAAAGTTCTTTTACTAGATACTACAGTCTGTTCATCCAACTAGGCACTCCTTTTTATTGAAAATACAGCATTAAAAATCAACTGATAACTGGATTCAATAGGTTTCAGTCTATAATAACGATTTATTTTAATAGTTTATTGGCTTCGTTAATATTTAATTATTAAATGGGTGATTCTGTTAAAAAGTTGTGCCAAGATTGTTTACCTTAGTAATGCAATATAGGCGACCATAGGTATTTATCAACATAAAAATAGAACTAGGTACCTTAGTTAATAATACTTATTACTACTATTTCTATTATATTTATGAAAAGATTATTTCTGAAATTATCTAAAGATAGTTTATACTCCCATCCCATGTAATATCTGTTTATTTTTATGAAAATCATAATGATAACCAGGTACATATCTAATTACCGATAACTGTAGGAACAGGTAAATGGAAAGACTGAACATTTCATTTGAAAAGAAATCTATCATTACTTACTACAGGTATCATAGGTACCAACTGACAACACTCATAAATCAATATGAATATAAGCATTTATTATTTTTATTATTAATTGCATTTTATGTTCATTTAATGCATATTATTTAAGTGCTTACATAGAGGTAAACACTAAATCTATTCAGAATATATAAAGTGTACATCTTTTATGATTAAGTATAATAATTATAACCTCAAAATCTAATACATTATGTAGTAGGCCACGGTTCCTCAAGTTGTCCGTATCTCAACAAATGCTTATTTAGAGTTTATGAATGATTCCGAACACAACTAGCATTTTCTCATTGCTGGGCGTTCTAGGGCATTCAATGTATGGGGAACGAGCAATGTCCTTTTTAAAAGAATGTCAATCTTTGGAGATCGGCACCACCATGGGCGTTTCCCAGCTTCTAAAGTCAGTAAAATAAAGAAAATAACTCAAGTAATGATCTCTATGAATTGTTTTAATTAAAAGTTATGGAAAAAGCCAATAATCTGTCTCATATAAAATGCCTAGTAACTAAAATAAGCTTCATTCAAAATAGAAAGAAACGGAATCATGCGCAGCAACAACACAATGCTAACCGAAGCTCCTATATAGGTCAAACCAGTCTGTTGGAAGAAATATATTACTTGAATGGAATGCATTTCCTTTCTCCAATTCGGTATAATACCTAGAATTATAAAATAACACTTACTTATCTAACTACAAGTAAAAGGCGTTGAGAATTGACAGTTTTTGTGTGTCACATCACAGTACCTGCAAACATCGAAAATAAGAAATATAAATTACTTAATCATGAATCTTAATCTATTTTATTATTCATCTTTATAGAGAAACACAACTTCTAATCTAAGAATTAGTGACACAATACTGTCCCATGATTCCAGTATTATTAAACTGTGCGTCTGCCTTGCTCGGCGCGCTTTCGTGTCTACGTAAAGTATACGTGTTTCGTGTGAATTTTATAAATAGCCAACAGTTAACAACAGCATGGGATTATTAAAGGCGGCTTCTTCACCTTGAATGTTGTGAAAATTTTGTGAAATCATAAGTGGGTCAGGCCGATAGAGCTGTCTGCGAGTGGTCGCACCACTCACCGGGAGTGGACCGGTGCGTTGCTCGAAATAAACCTAAAAGGTCGCCATCAAACGGAGGCTGGCAGACGGCAGTGCGCTACGTTATAATTAATTGAGGAAATGACCTACTCATTTTATAACCATTATGCTTAGAGTGCGGTAAATATTGTGAAATACAGAATACAGTTACCCTTAAGTACCTACATAGTTTAGCCCTAACTCTAAACCAACTAGAACTCTTATTTTGGGGAAATGGATAAAAAATTAAGCTTTTGTAGGATAGTGATTTATTCAATATCCAGTAGGTACTTAAACTATATCTTCCTTATTTCATCAACGATTTCACTGTTACCTCCAGCTGAGATCGATTGCATATTCGTAAGTTTTTGTCAAAGCGCTCGAAGTGGAAAGAAACGATGTAGGTACCAGATATTTAATCGACAATCTTCCATTAAATATTATATAAGCAAGTGTATTCAAAATTTATACTAATGTTATAAAGAGGAATGATTTGATTGCTTGTTTGTTTGTACTGAATAGGCTCCCAAACTACCGGACCGATTCCAAAAATTCTTTTACAGTTAGAATCCTTCATTATCCGTGATGACCATAGGCTATAGAGTATTTAAAAAAAATGGTTTCCGTATGCAAAACTTCGATAATGTAACCCAATGTGGGGAAAAAATCCCAAGAAATAACCTTATGTCGCGTACGCTGTGGAATTCATTGACAATAGAGCAAAGTGATGTACTAAAGTTTTATATAGGACATCAATATCTACAAAAAAAACTGTGATACCTTAAGTCTAACTATTACAGTCATGTCACAACTATATCCTATATCTATGGTCACAACTAGAGGTCCCCTAAGGTTATAGCGAGTCAAACTTAAAAGATGGTCATAGGGTAGACTATATAATGATTGGCCCCTTAAGCGGAATTCTTCATTTGTTTGTCTGTTGTAAATTAATTAAAACTTTTAGATGATTTAAATATACTTACACAATGCTGTAAAATAGGGTTTGAGTGTCAAAATAAGAAGACTTTAAACAGCTCAATATTATTATTTATTAAAATATTTCAAAATTAACAAAAAAGTTTCAAATGTATTGTCATTGGCCCTCGAGGTACAGTGATTGGTACCCACGTATATCAATGATTGGCAGTCTGGATATTTTTTCATTCTAGGTATTTACCTAATTATAAAATACTTAGGTATGTGTAATGGCCTGCGGAGACTATGGAAAGAAAAAATTGTCCACCAAGGACTCAGAGACTCAACGCACAGGGTGTGCGGTCATTTTGTTGCCCGAAAATTTAGAAAAGCACACACTACGGAAGTTAATATTCTCAGATTACGTTTTGATGTAATTAACATGAAAATTAAGAAAAAGAGAAGACGTTTCATAAGAGAATAATGGATCCATCTCTTTAAATCAGATCGTGCGTACAACGCGGACTAAAGTACGCTGTGTGCCTTGCTGCGCCTGGTCACATGAGTTTAAATTTTATTAGAAGGACTTTTTTCCTGTCCGTCCTCTCGGTGTCCTCGGTTATTCGGGTGACTTTTTGTATGCAGTACTTTTAATTTGTCGTGTACGTTTCTCGATGCAGTTGTAAGCGATCTATCTTGACGGAAAAACAAGTCAGCGGACAAAAGTCCCTCAACTGCGCACGAGAACTACTTAAGGCTGTTTTTTAAATTATATGAACTTATATTATTAAAATTATTACTATTTAAGCTGTGACTTGATCATAAAATGTTCATGATCGATCTTTTTGGTTGTAAACAAGAAAAAAACTAGCCCTTTTCGAATAGATGTGACAAAAAATATTTATATACCACCAACCAATCCTGCACATTGGTCCCTGCGCAGAACAGGCCCAGTGCGGATGCACTCGGTCCATCGCACACGCTCCCGGTTCATCACTCACCAAACAAAATTTTAAACCATATCCTCAACCACCGCCGTCAGTGGTCTCCCACCTCATTGCCCATCTAGTTACCCGCCCAGCTGCCTAGCTATCTGCCTCGCTAGGGTGTGATAGTAAATTTTCGCCTAGCCCTGACCTGCCATACTACAAACGAACTTCGTTCCAAATTTGGAAAGCAAGAAAATATAATACGTTTCAGTGATAAACATACTAGGTGCCAATGATAGTTCCATAAGTACTAGAGATTAAACCAAAGAATAGTACACCAAAACATTAATATTTTGTTGAATATTAGGTAAAGCTCTGCTGAAATACAATTTTCATTAATGCAGTGGTTGCATTTTGCTTATTATGTCGAAAAAAATCTACTATATTAGACTATAACGTGTACAAAAACACCTTTCCCTTATTGACTTCAATAAAATGGCTGCGTTTTCGTAGCCTGTGCGTGCCTGTGCGAACCGGCGCGCCTATGAAACTCTGTTTTTCCAAAAAGGGGCCATTCGTAGAGTCGTCTATTTTATTAGTCGCGGATATTTTTTAAAAAACTTTAAAGGGAAGCAACTCCTGTGTAACTTTAATCGTTTACCCAGAGCGTACGCTACGAAAGCGTATAAATGTCCTAATTTTACCCGTTTTTACAACATTTGTCATCGATGCCCCGATTCTACTGGGCCTAGCGTGATGTTATATAAATGCACTATTCAACACAACAATATTTTTTCAAATCGAACCAGTTTTTTCTGAGATAAGCGCGTTCAACCAAAAAAAAACTAATGTATACGAAGGTATAACTATGAAAAAAGTCATTGTGTATAATACAAGTCTGAGAACAAAAACTATAGTCTACACTACAGCTCTACACTGAAGCTAAGCGAGGGCAGGTCACTAATACTAAATATAACAACAAACCAAAAAATTTCGTTTGCAGATGAACCTCTTGAAAAGTCAAAATAGTTTTGAAAAAGAATCTAGCATAGAAAAAGAAAGAGATAAGAGAAGTGTATCCAGAAGTAGAGAAGAAAAAAGCAGAGAAGAACAAAAAGCAAAATCTAAAGAAGAGCGGGCAGCTAAAGAAGATATCAACTTTATGATGCAGGTGAAACGTCAATTTAAATAATTAAAAAAAATATTGTTTCCCTCTTAATCACCATGTGACGAAAAAGCAATTTAGTCAGTAGTTAGTTCTTAGGTACCTGAAATTATTGTTAATTTAGTGATTTGATTTAGGTAAAAAGTTCTCGAAAGGCGACTTCAAATACCAAGCCACCTAAGAGAGGTGGTCCTACCAAAGATAAAGAGGAATCGGATGACGACACTAGTACGGCAGGAACCTTTACCACTGAGACGACCCTCGTCGACGCTAACGTAAAGGAATACCAGGTAAGCTCCAGAATTAACAATACAGTCGAAAGACGGCAACTATAATAATAACTTAAAGATGATTATTATAATAGCAGTTACACGATTTTTTTCCTAATAGGATCAAATAGAGAGTTTGAAGCAAGAATTGGACATCTTAAAAAAACGCTGCGAACGAGTGGAAAAAGAGAAGAGCGACATCTTGTTACGTCGTCTGGCTAACATAGACACCGCCAATAAATACACTACAGGTCGTTCTTCGGAGGTCCTAAAGCTACAGCAGAAGGTCAATGAACTCACTGCGGTTAATGAAGATCTAAGGGACGAGAAGAAACATCTAACGTTGAAGGTCAAGGAAATTGAATGTGAACTGGAGGTAAAACTTTTATAAGTCTTTTATAAAAAAAACTCTGTTCTTGAATTAATCCATCTATTCAACTACCTACGTTCTGGAAATATATCAGCACTCGTTACTGCCAAAATTTTGTAATTCGGTTAAGACTTTATTGTTATATTCAGTTTGTAATCTGTCATCCTGTTCCCTGCTGAGAGGGACCTTGTCTCCACTAACAAGTAGGTACACCTTTAAGGTTCTTCTTCTCCTTTTGGAGGGCCTCTCCAGTGAAGGCTAGCAGTCAGCTCCGCACATTTCACCGGGTCTTTGGCGAGGTTTACAAAGTTCCGCGGCACATGTGATTCCGGTCTATTCCTGGATATTGCACAGCCACGATTTCTCCCTATGTCCAACAGCTATTCTTCCGGGCACTGTACCCGTCATTACCCGTCAACTAAAGAAGCTCTATCTGGGGTGCTTTAGCACCTTTAAGGTTATTCGATGATTTATTATCTATATACATATTTAAGACATTAAATAATTTCGGTAAAATGTTAACTTTCAGGGAAGACCGTCAGCGGAGGCACAGGCACGTCAAATAGAACAGTTGCGAGCGAAGTTGTTGGCTGCAGAAACGCTGTGCGAAGAACTAATGGACGAAAATGAGGACATGAAAAAGGAGTTGCGAGACTTGGAAGAAGAAATTGAGGAAATGCATGATAACTTTAGGTAGGCACGTACATTAGGAATAGGAGAATTCAATTCAATTCGTTTATTGCATATCCACAATGTACAAAAAGATGTTAAATATGAGTTATGACAAAATACGATCATTATGGACATGATTCGTTTAGACTCAATCTCTCTTCTGTTCAACTAATGAGAATTAGATTATCCACAACATCCTTGATTGTTGTATCAGCTACCTGGCATAGTAGTAGGAAGAAATACAAAATGTAATTACTATCTGCAATTCTAAAATAACGTAAGTTATCTTTCAGGGAGGACCAAGCAGACGAATACTCGTCTCTCCGAAGGGAGTTAGAACAAACAATAAAGAACTGCCGGGTACTATCTTTCAAGTTGAAAAAAACTGAGAGGAGGGCAGAACAACTCGAACAAGAGAAGGCTGATCAGGAAAAGAAACTTTTAGAGGTAATATAAAAATAAGAGTTAAAGTTAAGCTAAGATAAAATCTATATTTAATGTTACTTTATAGCTTATGCAAATGAAAACAATAGTTTATATTTTCTGAGTAGACAAAAACCTACATTTATACTGATTTAAACTTTCATGGTCATAAACATTGTAATAATTAGGATTACTACCTTGCTCTTGTACCCGATATTGCAGCACCATTGGAAGTGCCATGGTCGGAGTAACTACAATTCTCTATAGTATAGTAACTTTATAGGTATAGTACCTATATAGTCAATTAAGTCCTCCCCCCATTGCATAGGCGCGTTATTTCGGTCGATATTGCGATATTTGCTCACTCTTCCATTGCGTCGTTATCATCGCAGCACCGTGTAATTTCGTAGCCGTCCTAATACATAATGTACCTACTAAAAACAAATATCGCAAAAACGCATCCGATATTATCGACCGAAATAACGCGCCTATGCAATGGGGGGACTTAATTGACTATATAGGTACCTATAAAGTTATAGGTATCTATATAGTTAATTAAGGCCTCCCTCATCCATCCATATAATGTCTGGATTTTAGTCCTCCCATAATTTACTGTAACATTCGCAGATAGTAGGAGGTCAGGAGGGTCTATCACGCGAGAACCGCATCAAGGAGTTGGAGCAAGAGGTGGCTCGCTCTACAGAAGTTGCGCTACGACTGCAGCGCGACCTCGCTGAGGCCACTGCTAAACTTTCAGCCGTCTCAGGAGCACCGCCTGCTAATGTAAAGAAGAACGCGCCACCGGCAGATGGGGTAAGCATCTAGTTTTAGGAGAGATTACAAGAAAGTTCTTTAAAAAAATGTTTATAGTGGTCTCTCGTTTGGATCTTTCTTGATTGTAAACACCGAGATAAATATCAACCTATATCGCTATTCGATGAGTATTCGCCATTTGGAGCTATTAGTTGGAGACCTCTCCACTTTTAGACGCAAATCGTGTAAATGAGGATTTATTGGAACCGAGATCACCAAATAAACGCATACTACTTTCAGTAATATTGGATATTCAGTAATATTGATTAATTAAATATGATATTGGTTTTAGGATGGCTTTCCAGTTTCATAAAAAAACAATATCATATTTTTTTATATTACCTAGTGACGATAACTGCACTGGACCTAAAACATTTTAATTGGTATCTACCTTTACCTAAAGCCCAGCATACTGTTTTATTACAGCAAAAAGTATCCCGATCATCCCTAACACGTGGCGGTAGTCAGGAGGACCCCGCTCAGTTGCTTCGGGATCTCCAAGATTCCTTAGAACGCGAAGCGGACCTACGTGAACAACTACGCAACGCCGAAGAAGAGGTATAACATCTCTATTTCTACTGCACTAAGAACTTTTCCGTAATAAGAGGTTTAAGCATGAAGATTAATTTCGCACATTTCACACTAGTCACTACATAATACAACACTCTCATTCTTCACCTTGGACTCGAAGATTTAATTGATGGCGCAATGGTAAACGCGTTCTGATGCGGTTAAGAAAGTTTAACAACATTTGCAGTGGCCGTCCACCGAATGTCTGGTCCCCATCACGAATAAACTAGCAAGAAAGTATTTGTATTGCTATGTCGAAGTTACTATGAAAAAATCCAGTTTGGTGTTATGCCCGGTAGTGGCGCTGCTTAGTTAGATACGAATACGGATTTGTCAAAGTTTGTGTTTGGGGTACTGTACCCCTAGCACGAACCATTATCGAATTCGAATAGATAGGGCGAAATGTCAATGTCAAATTTTGTATGGAAGCTTGAACAGCAGCGTCACAAAGTACGTGATGAGAAATAAAAATCATAATAATAATAATAATCATTTTGTATAATCATACAAATATTGATATTGACATTTCGCACTGGCAAACTATTCGAATTCGATAATGATTTGTGCTAGGGGTACTGATCACCGATGAATAATTTACAATCGATATTCTAGTTATCGTTCTACCTATGTGATTCAGTCCCTTGGGAAGGCTCCTGCCCTAGCAAATGGGACAATATTAGGGTGAAAATGTGCAATTGCTAACTTTGGGATCAAAAAGTAAATCGAGAAATAGCTTCGGAAACGTTACCTACTGTAAGTCATTTCTCATGGTCCCGTGAGCGAACAACTGCTATGACCATACGATAAATGAGAAATATGGCATTGAAAAGTAACTTTGTGAATGATAAATAATTATTATAATTGGGATTTACACATTACACGTTTGATATAAAGCCTGAAATTTCTTGAACTGCGCTATTATATAAAGGCGACAGACAAGCAACGCCTTCCTATTAGACAACTTTTCGGATACATATTTGACACTTTGTTTATTTTGCGATTCATTCTCAAGCCTCCTTTTTAAAAGGTTTTTTACCAGGGTTCATATCAGCTGTCGCGAGATTGGTTCCATTTTTATATTTGTTTTTCCAGGCCATCAACCTAAACGTATATTTACTAGAAAATCGGCTATTGACAATAACTAGACACTAGCATCTTTGTGCCTTATTCGTTGTGATCATCCTAAATAGTATTTTTAATAATCACAACAAATAAGGAACACAATTTAGTAAATACGTTTACTAAAACAATTCATTAAGTAGCTCCTTTACAATAGATCCAAAAGGTACTACGCTAATGCATGACTCAACTCGGTTACACATATAATAGGTAATTATAATAACTTAAATAATGAAGTCACAATTGATTGTTAAAACAATCACTTTTTTTTATTATTATAGCCGCATTCGTGGATTTCTTTATGCCTAAAGGTTGACTGGCAGAGAATGCTTTTAGCGTTAAGTCCGCCTTTTGTCCATTTTTGTAATTGTGGCAATAAAGTTTAAATAAATAAATAATAAATAAATAAATTAGTATAACGATATTAATAATATCAAACTGGTTCAATATCTGAAATGTTCATTTGAATAACAATATTATTTTGGAACAGGCAAGCCGATATCGGAAACGCTTCGGGGGCCGGATACCACCGCCACCACCGAAACATCCTCCGTTACATCCCGATCTCATTCCATCCCAAGTTCAAGCTAAAAATGTTGCCAAAGAACTAGAAGAAAATACTAGGAGACGCTTTTTAGAGATGCAATTAGCATTAGATAAAAGTTTATCGTCACTGGACGTGAGCAGCATAGTAATTGGTCTAAATCAAGTAGCTCAGTCACCCCAAGATTTAGTGTTAAACTATTCTCAGGGATCTCAAACTGATATTGTCATGACGCATGACATAGCGACCGACACAAAGAAAATAACACTAAATTCGGCCATCCAATGCGACAATAATAACGTAGATATGTTCACCCAAACGGAAGTTGCATTTTCAAAGAATAAAAACGTTCAAACGGCTTTCATACAGTTCAACAATTCTTGCCAAACAGATAAATGTAAAACAAGAAATGCTGTTATACAGACGGCAAATAAGATCTATGATAATAAATGGCAACAAACATATAAATGTGCAGAGCATGCCGATGTCAGCACGGAGACTGAAACTGAAAAAATGTATAATCAGGGCACTTTAACGGATAATTTAGAAATATATGAAACTAGTAACATAAAAGCAACAGTAAACAGTGTGAAAAATATAAACTCCACGCCTCAACAAAACTCAGATGAAAAATCTGAGAGTCCACCGCTCACACCTGACAGGTCAACTGCAGGTCCTTCGACGCCTTTTACATTCCCCTTTTCATTATTCAACCCATTGGCAGTTAGATTACCCACTATAGGTACTTATGATTTATATAGCAAGTTTATTTATATATGTTGTTTTATCCCCAATTTAACGTGATGGTAACAGAGTGTATACAAGAAGGTGTAAACAAATGTTTTTCAATGTCCTATAATGACAACTAACGGATATTTTCAGGCAAATAATTTACGTAAAACTGCGTCACGGGTCGAAGATGACAATGAATCCTTGCTACTTCAGCTGAAGAAAATGGCTACCAAAGCCAGAAGTACGTCAAACATGTTGTAACAATGAATTTAGAATTTTGTTTACCCTTAATGCCTATCCGTATGTATATAGAATTTCAATTAACACTCCACAACCCCTAACCACCCAGGGTCATTGCTAGTATTTGTTTTTTTACTATGCCACTCTCCGAATCACTAACCCGCTTTTAAATTTCGATGCAGGAGGCGTATAAATGGTAGCCATTTTCTCCAGTTCTTATAGACTATCACTCGTTTATTTGTGTTAAGAAAATAAACACCAAATCCAATTTTTAAATTACACCATCATGGTACCTGACTGGTAAAACTTATATTTTTACTAAAATGATACTAATATTTCTTTAACATAAATACTAATTGACAGTATCCATTGTTTGTTTGTGATTATTGTTATGACTCTACGTGTTTGTTAGTACAACAACGATTTTAAAACTTTATGTATTGAACAGGTCGCAAATTATCTCCAACACCTCCTACAAACAGACTTGCGATTGAAGCCCCAAATGAAAAAGATGAAGGTATCTCTGACGAAGAAGATCCTGCGGAACTGCGCCTTCTCCTTGAACTCAACGAACAGGTTGTACATTTATACAATAATTGATAAATTTCGTAATTACAAAATACTCATATTTAGTACTATATTTGACAAAGGAAGCAGCAGTTTTACGACGAAAGGTAGAAGATTTGGAACAAGACAGAGAATCATTGAAAAAACAAGTCAAGGAATTATCGGACAAAATTACAATAAATAACAAGTCAGTAACTACTTCGGTAACACTAAGGAAAAATACAGCCAAAGGTAATAATTTAGCAGAGGAAAAAGTTAAGGTAATTACAGAAATATAACTTATTTTGAAAAATAATTTCGTTTCATGTTTAATTTCAAAACAATTACATAAATAATTGTTACACAATAGGTACTAGAAGATGAGATTGCTGAACTACGAAAAAAGCTCATTGAAAAGGAAAGAGATTGCGAAAGATTGCATGCCGAACTAAGTTTAGCACAAAAGAAGCCAAAGGGGTCGCTCATAAAAAGCAAGTGAGTGAATTTTAAATACTATATAACTGTAACCCTGTTTTAAAACATTTCATTTTTATATAATAACTGGTTTGTGCACCGGCAGCCCTCCTGCCACCTGCTCACAGGTTCGAATCACGGAAGAGGCCTTTATTTAAGGGATGAGCACAAATATTTGTTCTCCAATCATGTTTGTTTCTAAACGTTATGTGTGTTTAGATACTACAGTACAAGCACTCCTTAATTTAGGACTAAATAATTGTTTTGAGTGGTCATTTATAACTTTTAATGTCGGGTGTAGGTCTCTCGACGGCTCGAGTGAACAACAAAACGTAGATTTAAAACGACAACTCCAAGTTATTGAACAAGAAGCTAGTGTGTTAAGAGCAAAAACACAAAGTCTCGAAGCTGACAACGAACAGCTTCAAGCTGAAAACAAAAAATTACAGGTAATGTTATGTGTATTTAGATTTGTAGTTAAAATTTATTGATACTTTATAAAGTTTACCTTCATTTATTTATATTTCAGCTTTTGAAGAACACTAAAACGTTACGATCAGATAAAACAGTGGAACACAATGCAAATAAAATTTTACAACTAGAAAAGGAATTGAAAGAAGCTGCAGCTAAAATCAAAGAGTTGGAAAATAACAAAGAAAAAGAAGAAAAAACCGAAAAGAAAGTTAGATTTGGGGAAATCACAAAGAAAGACACTGAAGTCCTCAAAGCAAAACAAGATGAACTGGATAGATTGAAAATTAATTACAATAAGGTTGTCTTTTCAAGTTACTTAAGACGTATTTGTAGTTATGTGACAATTTTCATAATGTAATAGTAATGTTTTAATGGTTTCAGCTTGAGAAAGACAACGCAAAACTACATGCAACATTAAAAGCATTAAAAGAAGAAGCAATGAAATCTTTCCAGCCCCGCTCCCCAAAAAAACTGACTGATCTCACAACAAAACTTCAAATGAAAAAAATGGTAGAGGAACTTGAAGGCGAAATAGGTATGTTATTATTATTATTACAAAAAACAAATTTTAAATGACATTATCGTCAATATTAACTATCAAAACATACTTGTTTATTTTTTGCAGGAGAACTGTATGTCGTCATGAAAAATGCTGGTCTTTCTTCAAAAGAGATTAATACAAAAGCGCAACTTGAAAAAGATATTGAAGAAATTAAATCAAAGTTATTAAAGAATGAATCAGAATTTATAAATGAAAAGAATAGATTACAAACTGAAATAGCAAAATTAAAGGATCTCAATACTAAGTTAGATAGTGATAAATCAGAACTTAATGTAAAATGCAAAACTTTGGAGACCGAGAAGGACAAAGTAGCAAGTGAATTAAAATCATTTAAGGATAAAAATAATAGTCTAGAGACTCAAATTACTAAACTTAACAATGAAATAAGTCAGTATTATCTTTTCTATTCATATTTATTGTATACGCTTAATTTGGGCTTTTGTCATTACTTTTAATAATAAAATATATTGTTATTTCATTTTGGATACTTTTAGGTAGCTCTTCCTCGCAGAAAACAGCAATGAGTGATTGTATGAAGAAAATTGAAACCTTAAAAAAAGATCTGGACACGAAAGATAAGGAAATAGATAAATTAAAACAACAAGTGGAAAATGTAAATAAATTAGACCAAGACAAGAATAAATTGCTCAAAGAGGTACAATTACTTTTCAGTTCTACACTACCTTAGTTGATTTCTCTCTCAGTATGCATACATAATTAATCTTATTAATGATTTCTAAGTAAAACCTCATTTCCCCATAAATAGCCAATACTTTATCTAGCCTGGGCACTAATCCTACTGACCGACAAGTCTGCTCTATAGGACTAAAGTGTATGCCAGCAACCCACCAATCAAACTATCAGTTAATTAATACTGATGGTCGGGAGAAACTGATGGTTGGCGAAGTTTCTAAAGCAGACCCTTTTTCAGGTTGGTGATAAGACGAAAAAAATTACGGAATTGGAAAAGAAGTTGAAAGAGTCTGAGGAGAAATGTAAACGTATAGAAAAGCAACTGGCTACTCGTAAAGATCGTGTTTCTAAACTAGAGAAAGAGGTAAGTAATATGAATTTAACGTTGACAGGCGCAAAAACAACTATGACGATGTGAATAATGCTCTCTCGCAAGTTCTGCAATGGTTTAACGTCAATAATTTAAAGCTAAATGCTAATAAAACCAAGTGTATTTAATTTTCCTTAACGTAACGTAAAAGTTGAGCATATTGGAATTAAATTAAATAATGAAAAATTAGATTTAGTAGACTCGACTACATTCTTGGGTATAACGATAGACTCAAAACTACAATGGAGTCATCACATTACGCTTTTGGCTGGTAAACTTAGTTCAGCAGCTTATGCCATAAGAAAGATAAGACAACTTACTGATATAGATACTGCCAGGACTGTATATTTTAGTTACTTTCATAGTATCTTATCATACGGCATTTTACTCTGGGGAACAGCAGCTGATATTGAAAGTATATTCATTTTACAAAAAAGAGCTGTGAGATCTATTTATCAATTGAGTAGCCGAACATCTCTTAGAGAAAAATTTCAAGAAATTGGCATTTTGACTGTTGCTTCTCAATTCATTTACAATTGCATACTCCTCGTTAAAAATAATATCAATTTGTATATCAAACACAGTAACGTGCACAATTTTAACACAAGGAATAGAAACAAGCTTGCATTGCCACCCTACAGGCTGCAGAAGGTTTACCGATCTTTTATGGGTCAAGGTATACATTTTTACAATAAAATTCCTGATGCTGTTCTTGAGTTACCCATAAATGAGTTCAAATGTCACATTAAAAGTTTTTTGCTTAAGAAAGGCTATTATACTATTAAAGAATACTTGAATGACAAAACTGCATGGCTGTAACTGCAAAATTGTTTTGTATTTGTTTGCAGTGTCGTACAGATAAATTACCTTAACTCTAAGTAACTATTTTGCAGTTTGGTTTGAGTGGTTATGGGTAGTCATGCTCTCTTAAAAATCTCTTCCGCGGTGTCGTGTGAGGCGGGTCGTTGCGTTCCCTAAAATATGGTTGAGCGAAGCGATGGCTGGTTCATGCGTCATGCTCGTGAACGGGTGGTGCCAGCGGAGATGAGTCTGCTCTATACTACTTTATTATTATTATAATGATAACTAGCAAACTAGTGAACCAAAAAAAAAAAAAAAGTATTTAATTAATTGAGACCTTCGGAGATTTTCGGAGAAATCACGTGATTTCTCGAAAACCGGAAGTGCTACGTTACTCACATCCGGTTTGTAGTCATATCAGACTATTCTTAACTTATAACTTAAACATTCTCTATATCTATCTCTTACGGTTTGGCCGCTGAAACAGCACCACGGACGGACGGACGGGCTTGTCTATTATATAAGAGATTAATCATTTAATTTACAATTTATTTGTAATTGTATTTATACTGTATGGCACAGCAATCAAAATCAAAATTTAGGTGAACATTTATTATTTCTGAGATAAAGATTTAATGGTGGTGTGGATTCTGGCATGGTTCTTTAGACCTGAACTTTGGTTTTGCAGCGGTGTATCCTTGTCATTCTCTATACAGAGTGAAGGGAGGGCACTGATGTTGGGTTTGGTTTTGGGTTTGGAGAGTAGTGGCAGAGTCGAAACTAGTGTTTAGGTAATCACATGCATGTGTCCTACAGTTGTGTTTATAGTTTTTTATAGTAATGTACACTGGTACTTAATTTTTCCCCCTATTTTGCTATCTAGTATCCATATGTGGTTATGAGTAGTCATGCTCTCTTAAAAATCTCTTCGGCGGTGTCGTGTGAGGCGGGTCGTTACGTTCGCTAAAAAATGGTTGAGCGAAGCGACGGCTGGTTCATGCGTCATGCTCGTGAACGGGTGCTGCCAGCGGAGATGAGTCTGCTCTTGCTACATTGGGTACTATTAATCGTTGTATTTAACTTTAATGGCACATTTGTTTGTATGCCTAAACAGTAGGACACGGCATTCCTAAACATTTTTTTTTAATCTGTTTTTTATATTTTTTATTTTATAGTCATAATTGTTTTATCATTTACATTTGTAATGGAAAGTGACTTCATGAGTTATCTCATATTGAAGTCATTTTTCAAATTGACGACTCTGTATATAATACAAGGAGAAAAAAACAGCCCTTGCTGAGTTTCTTGCCGGTTCTTCTCAGTACAATGTCTCCCGCCGTAGATTTGCGAACCGATGGCGTAGCTTTTAGACATTCACAAGTGCTTGTAACAGCCTAGACTGAATAAACGATATTGAATTTTGATTTTTTTTAATTGAATTAATTTTTTTGACGAAATAAGTTATCTGTAGCAGATTTTTATAGAAATAGATATTTTTTTAATTAGGTTTTTATGGCGTCCTTGTTTGATAAGTACTTGCTTAAAACGATGCTACCATATTTTATTATTATTATAATACCCTTTATAAATAGCTATCAGAAGAAAAGGAACAATCTGAAGCACTGGTCAGTTCTCACAGGCGACTATCTGTTGAATTAACAAGTGAAAAAGATGAAATATATACAAAGCTCATTAAAGCAGAAACAAAAGTTATAACACTAGAAACTGAAATAAGAGAAATGAAGACTGATTACGAAAGTAAATTAACCCATTTGGAATCAACTATAGCTGCAAAAGATATTCATATTAAGCAACTGGTACTACCGATTTGAAAATAAAAAAAATCCTATAGCCCCCTAATTCATTTATGACGTAAGACGGTTTGGTGGGGGGAGGGGGTCGACCATGTCTTATTTTTTCTTACAAGGAGGGAGTCTCGATAGTTCTTACATAAGATCATAAAAATGCCCTAAGTTAAAATTATACTTTGAAAAATCTCTGGCAACCGCGCGAGTGCCTAGGTTCGCTCGGATGCGTAGGTATAGGTAAATGATTTCTATTTCCATGGCAACGGACCCGCGCCACCCACTACAAAGGTAAAAATCTCTGGCAACCGCGCGAGTGCCTAGGTTCGCTCGGATGCGTTTAGGTAAATGATTTCTATTTCCATGGAAACGGACCCGCCCCACCCACTACAAAGGTAAAAATGAATGATTAAAACCAAAGGTTTAGATTCTTTGGTAGTAACTATTATACAGTGGGGGAGGGGGTCGGCCTATTCCTATTTTTTCTTATAATAGGGGAGGAGGGGTCAAAAACTATCGAAAATAGTCTTACGTAATAAATGAATGAATGCATGCTATTTAGCCTCGCAAGCTATATAGTATTATAGTTAGATAATTACACCAAACCGTTTGCAACCCATATATTAAGCATGTACCTTAAACCTATTGCTTGTATGAATAATAGAACAATCTATAACGTAAAAGCACGTTAAATTAATTTTACATTAATATATTCTCACGAAATTCTGCTAAAGTTACCCCGACCAATCGAGTTATTGTATTATGTCCAATTTTCAACTTTATATATTATTTTAGGAGGATGCTTTCAGAGAGACTTCGAACCAAAAATACGATGAAGCCATATCGTCTGTAGAAATGGCACAAATGAAAGATAAACTAGAAACCACGATAAGAAATCTCGAAGAAAAAGAGAGCGAACTATTCACTGCTAAACAAGAACTAAATAAGACTGAAAAGGAATTATCATCACTACAATCAGAAAAGTCACAGCTTAAATCTGAAATGAATAAATTAGAAAATGAAAGAAGAGAACTGGAAACTAAATTGCAAACAGAGAAAAAAGAATCTAGCTACTGGGAAAGCAAAGCTTCAGAGCTAGAAACAGATTTACAGGTATACTGACAACTGATAATAATTAATTACTTAAACAATATTTTTGTGTATTAATAATAAAATGTCACAGGCAGAACGAAAAAAATTGGAGCGTATGCGGATTGCCCATGACAAAGATATTAAAAATAAGGAAGCAGAACTAGCAACATTAAAGGGCAAACTTAAAATTCTTGAACAAACTTCTGGCGCAGGTGTTAAGAGAATTGCTGATCTCAAACAAGAATACGAAGAAACTGTCAAAAGTAAGATTTTTAACTATTTTTTGTGTATCGTGATGAAATAGATGTTGCTATACTAATAGTATCCTTTCAGAATTGGAGCATTCGCTAGCTGTAGAAAAAGCTGAATATGATGAATTAACAGGTAAATACGAAATTTTAGAAGAGGAACATGTTGTAACTAAGGCAAGGCTTACTGTAGAGAAGGAGCAAGCTCAAGGGTATCTATCATCATCATTTAATTTGTGTCACTCGATTTACTCAGCGGTGACTTAATGTAATAAATGCTTATAAATTTTTTAGAGAGTTAATGCATGTCAAAAAGGAACTAAATAGTGCACTAGCCGAAATAAAAACTCTTCAAGATGCGCATGAAACTCAGTCTGCAACTTGGCAGAAAGACAAGACTGACCTTCAGGTAATTAAATATTTATGTATACCGATGATTTTCACTGACTAGCTAATGAATTTCGATAAATAATTCCTAAAACTTTTAGAATTTAACATAATATTTATATGTTATATGAAATGTTACGTATGAATAGAAAGAAATATCGTCACTGCAAGAAAGACTTTGTGGAGGCGGGTGGGAAGTCGAGAAGGCGCGCTTGACTGCTCGTCTAGATCAGCGAGAGGCCGAACTGCGCGCTGCCACCGATCAGCGTGACGTACTCACGCATCACCACGATCAAGCCAAGAAGGAGGTATCGTCAACTAACTTGTTAATAAACACATTCACAATCAGGGTTGTATTATGAAATGTTACTCTTACGGCCAGTTTCAATAATCAACCTCCAGTAAAAGGTCATCTGATTCGCGAGACTACTCTACTGTGCATATGTATCATTCTAACAAGAAAACTTTCCTGGCGTTAATACGGCCTCTGGAATGGTATAATATAACCTATATAACTGAGGAGGTCCTCTTTTAGTATTTGATTTAAAATATCCACGGACCATCCAACCAACCCCGTTAAAGAATATTTTAGGAAAATAAAACATTGGTACTAGTTTCATTACGCTTATCGTCTTAAATAACCAAGCGTGAAACCCTGAGAATACAATGAAAATTAATATTAACATTTATACGCGATACTATCACATCTTCAGTCTTGTACGGGTGTCGGTACAAGACTGAAGTGAAGGGGTTATGCCAGAGCTGTCCAATAATATTCTACAGAAAAGAAACTTAAATATTGTTGTACTCGTATTTCACTAATGATTGCCATTTTATTTTTTACCTTAGCTGGAAGAAATGAGAAAGAAACTGGAGGACTACGAGAAAGTGTCCAAAATACAAAGAAATTTAACAGCAGAGAACGCGGAACTGGAACGGGAGGTGGGAGCACTGAACGCGCGCCTCGAACACGCGGAGAAGTCTAGAAAGGCCGAGATCACAGACACTAAGATGAGATACGATAGCCAATTGAACACAATGCGAGATGAGCTCAAGTCTTTGCACAACCAGGTTCGAACCTTTGATCATGTTTTTGTTTTCTATTCTTCTGACTTCTTCTGATACAGATTTATTTAAACTGAAAAGCTGACGCTTAAGCAGCGATCATTAGTCAAAGATCTCGTATATTATTTAAGTAAAAAATATATATATTTTAGTACTAAATAAATTGCGTTCTTTTTAATAAAATCAAAATAAATGTATTTCTGAATAAATAATCAAAATACGGATCTATAACATTTGTGAACTCCTTTTAGGTATCGCGATTCAGGCGTGAAAGGGACAACTATAAGCAAATGCTGGATGCTGCTCAGAAAACAATGGGTGAAATGAAGGACGCCAAAAAATCTAGCAGGACACCAAGATCTTCAATTTCTAGTACAGATGAGGTAAGTCAACATAGCGCGATGGTTAGCGCGTTCAGTCTGTGATCGTGGAAGTTAAGCATCTTTCACAATGGCCTGGCACAGGATGGGTGACCTAAAATGTATTGTCTTGAACTCCTCCGAGCTTCGGAGGGCACGTTGGGCTGTTCATCCCCATTGCATCTGCAATCGTTAGCACCCACAAATCCGCGAATCGAATAGTTTTTCATGGCCCAATCCCCCTATTTTATCCATAGGGAAGTTTTGGGCCCCCGCAGATGGGACATTTATAAAAAAATTGCCTCATTATTAATAAACGAAGAATAAGTTTGGAATAGTTAGTTTTGTTTGCAATAACCCTAACAAATTGCAATTATAAGAAGAGAAGGGAGAAAATATGCTAAATAATATTAAAACATTATTAGTATCATAATATTGATTCTTAATAAAGGTCATTTATGTCATCAGGAGGAGTATCGCAACAAATTAGCAGTCCTAGAACAACAGAATGCATGCCTTGAAGACGAACTGTGTGAAGCGCGGCTGCTCTCGTCTAAACTCAAGACCGAACTGGTCAGCGAGAAGTCAGCTTCCGAAGTGCGCATAGCGGAGATGCAATCGCGACTGAACGAGGTAAAGTAATATTGGGAATTCAAATAAATAAAATGTAAGCACTTCACGCACAAATACACATTACTACCACATGCAACCACTGTCGATATAACAGCGATATAACCCGATCTCAGATAGCCTGCAAGCTTTATTTGTGATGCGTCAAGGTTCCGTTTCGCTTGAAAAGTTTTCGGCCAATCGGAGACACCTGGCGCTCGGCTCTGTTGACCTGAGATAGTGAGGTCATTATTTCGCGCGCATTCTCATGGACGGATTCGAATGCTAATTTATCTATTGTGATAAGTGATTAGCTTGATTGTAGCATAACAGAATCGAAAGTAGTGAAATTTTACTTTCCAAGTGTTGTGTATAGTGTTTGTTTTATTTCACCGTAAAGGTTTGTCAGTTTTTTTTTCTTTCTTGCCGTCAGGTACGATTGTTGTCTCACAGATTTCATATTAAATAAGTTAACTTAATTCTCAAAACATTCGTTCGAAAAAAAAACGTGGCCTAGGGTCCACAGCCTTCGGCTCTGTCTACCCCGTAAATCCCTTACTGACGTGATACTAGGTACGTATGTAGAATAGAAATAAATTTGCGGTATTTCTGCTGGTATTTATTTGTGATGATGGTGCTGGCAAGTCAAATTTCACTTATTTATGGTTCTTTGTTTTTATATATATTTATTTATAATTCGCGTGTGAGTGAAATGTGCTTTATATGGCTTTTTTTAAAGCCACTTTTATCATACTCGACATGCAATGTTCCTATAATACCAGTGATGTCATGTATGCTGAAGGTGGTGAACACTAACAACTGTACAGCAAGCATGTTCTGTCGCATGAAAAAACTGCATACAACGCAACGCAAGCACCATACCTAACATTTCGTTGTAGTTTTGGGAAAGGTGCACTAACAGACTATTATAAGGTATGTAATTTATTGCATGTGAAGAAGGGCGGCTGTAATAGCTTCGAGGGGCCGTTGCAAGAGTGTTGGTAAGCCACATAATGGCATTGGTTACTGACCTATATCTTGATTTGATTCACAAAATCTCGAAAAAACCACGCGGAACAGGCAACAGACGGAACTCAAACGCGTACCCTTAGCTATACGAGTGAATTTTATTCTTGTAAAATTTTCTTTAGATTTAAACATCTAGCAGATAAATGCTTAAAAAATAAAAAAATATTACTATAATTCTTATTTCTTCTTTCAAATGTTTAATACCTACTTGTAAAGGTATTCATTTGACATTGTGAGTTACCTACAATGCGAAGAGATGGCGCTGCCTTGCAGCTTAAGAAGGGCTAGAGCTAATTAGACACGGCCGTCAGAGCCGCGGTAGCATAATGATCAGTGCATTCGCCCGGATAGCAAAGGGTGCAAGTTCGAGTCCTGTCTGCTGCCTGGTCCGCATGGTTTTTTTTTCTGGTAAAATTTTGTTTACATTTAAACATCTAGCAGTTAAATGCTTGAAAAATATAACAAGTATGTAAACTATTAAAATTGTTATGTAGTATGAAGAAGAACGCCTACTGTCATCTGGAAGGGCACGGGTAGCCGGCCTGGCGACTCGCATGGAACTGGCGTGGCATAAGGAACGCGATGAGCAGCAACGACTGTTGCAGGAAACATCGACGCTCGCGCGCGACCTGCGCCAGACTCTCTATGAGGTATAATCTTAGATAAACAACGAATTAAATGTATGGGAAGAAGAACGCCTACTGTCATCTGAAAGGGCGCGGGCATATTTAAAAAAAGGCAAATTTAAAATATCAAAAAACCCGACTGCTTAATTATACTTAAATAAAAACTGAAAAGAAAAAACAAGTCCAGTAGTCTATAATTCTGTAAATAAGGAACAAAGCTACTTTAACAGCCGGGACCCATTAGATATTCAAGAATACATCATAATATTTTTTTTTTTTATTTTTTAAATTTATCTTTTTATTTCACACTTTTTAGTTAGTATTTTAAGACAGTATATACCGTAGTCTGGTTACTTCTGTAAGGGAATTAATATCGCGGGAATTATTAAGTACCTTGCGGTGGTCTAAAAGATTGATTTATTAAGACATAAAGAGACTTTACCAGCGGGTTCAAGGCTACAGATGGGCCTCAATTTTCGCAAAAATGTGTGAAGTTAAATCAAGTCGTTACATAAATATCTAATGTATGTACATTTTATAGTAAACTACTACTACAACTTATTCAATAATTTGTTAATACAAAATGTACATTTTGGAAATAGGTATCAAATAATATTTTAGTTTTGATTCACTACTCTAGCGGTAATGGCTTACACATTAAAAATGGATATATGGTGTCACGTACTATTTTTTAGAACTATTTAAGAGATACATTTTCACTGTACATTACATTCATGTAGCTTTTATTGTTTTTGCAGTGCAGGCCAAAATATCTCGCAGATGGGAGATATTTTTCCGTCTTATGTGACACTTATTGTTATATTTTGGCCAATTCACTCAATAACAACATAAATTATTATATGTATGTTATTATCATATATGATCTATATTACTGTTAAGTTTCATTAAAATCCATTCAGTATTTTTTAGGTGAAAGAGTAACAAAGATCCATACAAACGTAAGATTGAAATTGCGGAAGTGATTATTATACAACTTTAAAGCGTTGTAGATCCTAAACAATCATATAAAATGAAAAATGGTGTTAGGAACCTTAACATGATTTTTGATTATCTAGACAGTGATACCCCACTCGACATATTTTGTCAACTTATTTTTTTTACTTCGTCACAATATGGCGCCTAATTTTGCCCATATTGAATTTTGATTTCTATCATATCTTTAGTAGCACTCCCATGATTGAGACGAATCTATTAATGTATGAATCATCAAAATCGGTCCAGGCGTTTGGTCTCTAGTGTGCCACAAAGGAACAAACATACATATATAGACTGTTAAACACTATACCCTGTCTACGCGTCGCGCTTTGCGCTATTGCATTGCGCAGTCGGGTAAAAAGAAGCATCTGGTTCTTCTTGTAAGCAGAATAAGATAAAAATGCCATTCATGTCTTGATCGCTCTCGATCAAGTTAAACCCGTTCCAAAATCGTTTGTGGTTTGTGTGGTTTTTTTTATCCGTGTAAGTAAAAGATGCGTGTAACGTGTTTCATCTGCGATTGTGCAGTAGGTAGTTAAGTACTCAAAACCATTATTAAGTTTATTTCAACAATGATTAATCATTATGAAAACTTTCATAAAATACTATAACTATGTAGAATTAGGTGTAATGACATATAAACAATTCATTGAATATTAAACAGAGATACCCAACTGTTACCAAGTTGGTATTATTTTAATGTAAACCTTATAAACCCTGCACAGGTGGAACGTGAAAGGGATAAAGAGAGATTGGATATGAAGAGAAGAATAGAACAACTTAAGAGAACAACGGAAGAGGAGACAGAAGAAGCTAAGAAGAAGGTAAACATACCAAAAATTTACAGATTTACTACAGAAAGGTTAGCCGGGCGTTCAAAACGAGTTTAACAAAGAATTTAAGAAAATGTCATACGAATAGCTCGGATTTACTTTTTTGTGGTACTTACAACACAATAATGATTAATTGCTGTTTTTTGGTACATTCGTTTTTAACACATTATAGGTGACAGAACTGCAATGCGATCTTTTGGAATTGAGAGACGCTCACGCGAAGCTCCGTACGGCTAACGAGAAATTACGTCGCGACAAAGAGCGCAATGATCGCGATAGGGATCAGAACAAACTGCTCGTCGCCTCTCTTAAACGAGCGCAACAGGTACGACTTAATTCATTTATATAGGGTGAAATTGAATGTTTCTATGAAACTTCGTGAGATTGTTGGGTTATGTGTATAGAGTATGCCTGTTTTTTTTTTCGGATTTTTTTGAAGTATATTTTTTTCATGTATTTATTTATAATTTGTGTATTTTTATGTCCTTTCCTCCTTTTGAGTAGTTATTCGTTTTAAACAAACAAACTTACATATCCAGTGAAAAACAACTAATAAATAAGCACTTCTAAAAAACGGAAAAACATTAAATTCCACCGCGGGTCAACGACCGACCGCGCCCGCCAGCCGTTGAGTGAGTAGGTACCTCTACACAGAGCTCAGCTGACTCGTTTGATTCCACACAATACAATAAAATCGTCTTAGATGCCTTTATTGAAATTGAAATAATAAGCACAAATGTCATCTTCTCTTAAGCAGAGAAAAACTTTAAAAGTTAATAATAATTTTGTCACGATTGGAAATAGGCAAATGTTAAACAAAAAGAAATACTTATTGCAGTTCAATACTTGGGTCAGAATGAAATTTATAACCAGGTATTCAAAAGTACTTACGAGACCGGCGATGTAGGTAGGTACAACGAGGAACGAGGAACATATTCATTTTTTTCACTAGAACTTTTTATCAAATCAATCACACTGGTAGTACACAATTAGTTGTTTCTAATCAAAAAGTATTTACGCTAGCAATAAAAAGAGACTTAAATTATTATCTGCAAAATTGTTGCTCTAAACCACCATTTTGCTGCAAACAAAGGTAGGCATGTTTGCGGACGTGTCTTTTCACCTTTTTTAAAGTGTCCCTATCACTACTCACTGCACAAAATGCAACTTCTATGGTTTGGGGACTCATTCGTAAACCAAACCTACTTCGTCACACTCGCGATAGCAGTACACCATCTCTAGGTATTCTTGGTTCGTATACCGAGGCATAATGAAATTATCACAGTGTATGTCACTAAGTCAAAAAATGCGCACGCCCACGCGCGATTGATGTACTTGCGACTGCGTTTTGCATGCAATCAAAGCAAACCACCGCGTGCGGGGTAGAGGGGAGGTGGGCGGAATTCACATCATCAAAGACGCCGCAACCGGCGCTAGTTGCCAGCGAGGGGGCGCGCCGCCCGCCCGTGCTTGCCGCAAAACAACATATTATTACGTGTGTGTGTGTGTGTGTGTGACTGTGGCTGTGATTAAATGTGTTGGGAATTTCATGACGTGGGCAAATCAGACACGAAGAGTTCCTTTCTTCACTAAGCTCGTAAGTTATACCGATTTGCTCTGTATGATTTTTCCCAATTTAATAAGCCGTTTATGCTTAAGTTTTAATTTAACGAGGCAACTAACATTAACAATAAAAAAGAAGTTCTTACACTAACAGACAGGCTTTACCGATTTAAAATCGTGACAGTCATATTAACTTTACAGGATTTTTAATTGCTCTAACAGAAGATTTATTTTATTGATTAATTACCTGTGCTTTATGAAACATATACAATATTCAAAGGTATTGTGTATCAGTGAATAAATAATTATAATATAGCATCTAAGACTATTTTATTGTAATGTTTTTAAATAGTGTGGATCAAAGCGGAGAGTAGGTAAGTGCCGAGTCATCTGTGCGTGTAGTAGGTACCTACACAGGCGGCCGCGGTCGTCGCCCCGACCGGCGCTGATCTCGACTGGAGGCATAATGAAGGCATTCATTAAGTTTCCGTTTTTTTAGTAGTGCTTATTTTAAGTTGCTTTATAACTTCTATGTAGACGTGTTTAAAATGAATAATTACTCATAAGGAAGAAATGACAAAAAAATAACCAAATAAAAAATTAAAAAACGAAAAATTTTATTTTAAAAAATCCGAAAAAAATACAAGTAACCCAACAATCTTACGAAGTTTCATAGAAACATTCAATTTCACCCTGTATTAATTGTTAACCTTAAAGAAGAGAAGAAAAATATAAGATGTGTCATTCAGTAAAACTTGGTCAAAATATGGCCACTATAATCAGTACTGTATAACACAGTACTGATTATTATCAACAACGATGTAATAAACGCTGACCAAATAATCATATTAATTTCTGGTATAATTATACTTTGGAATTAAGTATACAAAGTAACACCACCTTGTATGCAGGCGCAGAAAAGGTTGTTTTCTACAAAATAAAGTAGAATCTTTCATTTGCTTCCAGAGTGTGATGTTTCTTATATTTATTCTCAGGAGGACGACAGAATAATAACACAGCTATTGGAGACCATAGAAGATCTCATGAAACAGAGTCCAGATTTATTCCGCAGTGAGCCCAGCGTTAAGCCTGAGAAGAGTTTAGTTACGCCCACTCCACCCAGAAGAAATAGGGTAAATAAATAGTCACTAACAAATCTTCTGTTTACAAATTATTACTGTATCAGTGATTATCGCTCATGCAGCCTTTATACGGGCTTTTTCTTCTGATATAATTGGTATCTGCAGCCTTGGCTAGCATCAAATTTAAAGTAAAGTTAGCGAAAATTTTTATACTTCATAGACAAATAATCTTGCGAAATAGACGTAACGTGTATAGCTTTAGTAGATAGATTCATGGCAATTAGTTTAGTGCAATACTGGTGTCGATTCTGACATGATTCTCAAAAACTAAAATTAAATTTGACAACAGAGTATCCTTGTCAATCTCTATATAGTATGAAAAGGAGTGACTGATATTAAATTAGTTTTTAAGTTTAGAGAATCATGTCAACTGTTTATGTTTTCAGTCCTCGAAGTCCCGATCGAGGTCTGCGACCCCAGAAGGCGGTGAGAACACAGTAGACGTGGTGGCGACGGCGGCGCGGCTCCGTCGGCTGACGGACGAACTGCGCGCGTCGAGAATAGCTGAGCGCACGCGACGACACAACGTCTCGTCGGCGAGACGGTACGTTATCGAACACGTATACGAACACCAATACATATATGTAAGAACACAGTGGACGTAGCGGCGACGGCGGCGCGGCTCCGTCGGCTGACGGACGAACTGCGTCCGCCGAGAAAAGCTGAGCGCAACTGAAAACGACGTCAAAGCTGCTCCAACTAATATTATTTCACTCACATCAAAGTATAAATATAATACTTATTAATCATTCGATATGCAGGGCCATGTCTACAGAACCACGCGACACTCTGTCGGTGGCACCGGCCGGGCGGACGCCTTCACGAGCTCCTTCGCTGAAGAAACGATCTGTGTCGCTGGAACAAACTACTAAGGAACAGGTAAATCAAAATTTCTTTACGCTAAGCTAAGATAACTACAACTGAAACAAGGACAGATAATTCTTATTGGAAGGCAATTAACAGAATTCGACAATATGGCGTCTCTACGACTACGTATCTTTGATGCCGGCTCTTCCCTTAAACTTGTAAACTTGACAACAGTCTGTCCTAATCATGCTTTATAAGGAATGAAAAGGATAGACTGATGTCAAATTTACAAATAGCAAACACGAATAGCCATGTAAGTGACACTATATAGTCTAAGAGCCGGTGGGAGATCGACCTTCACCGATCTGATAACACGATGAGACATATTTCATATCAAATATAATTTATAAACAAATATGCCTATCATGACTTGCCTATCGAAAAGTGTTTATAGCTATTTTTAACTTAATTAATTTTCTTTCATTACTCTCACTCTTTTGATAGCCGAATGAGTTTTATCTCAACTGATAGTGCAGACAGAATATGCCTAGGTAGGCTTGCCTACTTATTTTTGTGGCTACCTGGCAAGCAGATGTGAATAATTAAGTCAATATAAGTAACTACACCGATCTGTTAACCATTCGCAATTTATATCATAGGTAAGATATTTTAATTACAAAACCAATCATATAGGCTTACCTGCAAAAAATCGTTCACAAATTATTATTGCCAAGCTATAAAGTTTTAGAATTTTAACTATTCTGATAAGTACGAGAGAACTCTTGTTTATTATAACTGATTTCGATCACAATGTTAGTATTATTTCACACTATATACTTACAGCTATGAAATAATCAAAAATAAATAATTTAATATATTTCCATGGATTTCCCTTTCAAATAATAATTTAAAAAATAACGCTTTTGCGTTTATTGCTTAAAATAAGCTCATTACAATTAAATATACGTAACTCATTTCGACCAGTGTCATGTTAAACGATTTTGCATTTCGACTGTCGATAATATTATCATACCTACATTTCGTGCAAAACCAAATTTCCTTTAAATAGAAAATTTATTTTACAATATTTACAAAAATAAAAAGATATTTAAGTATTATCATTTTCACTTGTACCCTTACAACCCTTGGAATATAAATATATGTAAGTATTGCATGCAATATTTGGTTTTTGCTCCTTGTCAATTCGAATAAGAAGATAATCAACATTAAACAAATTAAATTTTGATTAACTTTATATTTTCTGAATATCAATATCAATCGCGAGTCCTCAGCGTAGGTACGCGTAGACACTGCCTTATTTTAAGCGTAAAATAAAAATACCTGATGAGGAGGATAACAGGAGTTTCGAGTGATGAGTTATCATAAAATGATTATATTTATTTTCGAATGAGCTCCACTTAAACTAAAAGGGATAATAAAACTTAATATTGAAAAAATATGCAAAAATACTATGAAATTATAAAATATAAAAAAATATTCGATTTCCGATACAACACCTTCAATAACAGATTTCAGCAAATAACATTTAGTACATCTTTTTTTGTATTTTAATGAAAGCTTATATAGTCGGGCAATTTTTAAAATTAGTCAGAAGTTATGAAACATCCATTTTCATTTTTTTATTTCAATTGAAAATCCATTCTGTTTTACTTAATTTTTATTTGGTACCATTTTTTTTTATATCTAAGGTTAAAGATAGGAAGGAGATTATTTTACTTATAAAACAACAAGCAATAGGCATTCTGTTAAAAAAATATCGAAGAAAAATCGACCCAAAATAGAAGTTAAGTATACTTTTTTAAAGTTGTCTTATCGTTGAACTTAAAAAATAACAAAAAAAACTAACTCGAAAACTATGCAAAATCCTAGAACATTGGAGGTTTAATTTGATAGATATAGTACTCCGCTATCAGCTCGCACTGGCTTGACACCCTAGAAGAAACACCCTGTATAGTGTGAAATAATACAAACATTGTGACACAAATCAGAGTTATAATAAATAAGAGTTCTCTCACACCTATCAGAATAACTAAAATTCTTAAACTTTATAGCTTGGCAATAATAATTTGTGAATGATTTTTTGCAGGCAAGCCTATATGATTGGTTTTGTAATTTAAATATCTTACCTATGATATAAATTTTGATTGGCTAACAGATCGGTGTAGTTAACTATATTGACTTACCTATTCAAATCGGCTTGCCAGGTAGCCATGCACAGAAATAAGTAGGCAAGCCTACCTAGGCATATTCTGTGTGTCAAAAACTATCAGTTGAGATAAAACTCATTCGGTTATCAAAAGAGTGAAGGTGATGAAAGAAAATTGATTAAAATTAATTAAGTTAAAAATAGCTATGAAGACTTTTCGATAGGCAAATCATCATATGCGTATTTCTTTATAAATTATATTTGATAAAAAATATGTCTCATCGAGTTATCAAGATAGGTGAAGGTCGTTCTTTTACGGTCTCACCTACTAATAGTGCTCTTCTATATTTACGAGCCCAGACCACTAGAAATTACTCCTCAGAGACCTGTTAAACTTTAATCGACTCTTAGAATCCGATGTACACTGCACGATCGTATGCAAAATCTAATTCGAAAGCAATTGATACGAAACTCTTAACAGATTGCGCGGTCCGCTTACGGTCGGTCTGCAATTCATACCCGCAAGCTGTTTAATGAGAATTGCAAGAACTGAGTAGCTCGATGACGCAGGTGTTTAGCGCAATCGGCCTGGTCGGTCATTGTATTGATGAACAAAACCTTAAGTTCCTCCAAGCTCCAGAAGGCACGTTAAGCCGTTTGGTCCCGGCTGCATCTGCAGTCGTTAGCATCCACCAATCAGCATTGGACCTTCATAGGCTTTTGCCCCATCAATGAAGACATTAGTGATGATAACGAATTTGAAATGATATGGAAGCATTACTCACTAGCAAAGTCCGCTAAAACATGGTTCCAAAGTTATACAACTAAACTAAACTTCAATACTAACGTATCGAATGTCGAAATATAGACAAAATAAAATAATTGGACTAATCAAATATCTGCAAATGCATTCAACTATCCATTCATTGAGTAAAATAATGTTAAACGGAAATTCCAACCAATCCCATGATCGGCGTGTTGATTGCATTTTGTTCGCCCCGCCCACTTGATTGCAGTTTGCGTGGAACCATTTTTAGCGAAGTTCGTATTCCATATCATTTCTAATTCGTTGGCTGATGATGATGCTGACTAATTACAAGTAGACTGAGCTGTGAGTTAGCAGTTTCGATACAGTCAGTCGCAGTCAACCCTCCCTTTGCAGTTAACTGTCTAAATTCTACATGCAATGGATAAATAGAAAATATTCAATCTATAACTGTTTCTTCGTGTAGAATGTAATCTGGAAGTCGGTGGATGACACCAGCGTTTCGTCGATGCAATCCCTGGACGGAGACCTAGATAATCGTCTATTCACGATGCAACGAGACACCAGCATGGACAGGTGCGTTATATTCACTTTAAAACTGATATTATAACTAAGACAAAGTCCAAAATAACGTATACGGATAATAATGTGAACGTTAAATTATTTTTCAGTCGACTGTCGGGAGGATCGACCCAAAGTGATGTCCTCCCAGCTGAAAAGAAAAAGAAGAAGAGTTTATTCGGTAAATTGAAGAAGCTAACCAAGTCTCGCTCTATTGACGACCAAGTAGACCCTGAGGTCGTCGAATTCCGACCTATCGGTGCAATGTCGCAGGTATCAATTGTCTTCTTAGACAGGATTTAGAGTTTATATCAAATATGATTATCTACTTTATCCTTATATCTTTTCTTTAATAGGGATCGGATTCTGATATGAGCGCGGCTGGCAGCAAAAGGGATTTACGCGGTCGACTATCTGACATGTTTAGTAGAAAGGGCGCAACATCACGCGGCAACAGGTAACGAATTTTACTTCTAATAATTAAAGAGTTACAAGTTACATTGGATTTTAAGCCACAGTATCAGAGCAGTTCCGCCTAACAGAGAAGTACGAATTAAATAAGCGGTAATGTGAAAATATATGTTATCTCAAGGGTGCTTCGTCGGGGGTTTGCAAGAGTATATATAGCAAGGGCATTTGGCAAGATTTAGAAGTTATTAAAGATGATAATGATATTCATCATTCTGTTGTGTATTTCAGTAAAAAAACTAAAGCGAAAATTCCATTTTCAAGTTGCCGCGTAAACGTTTCTCTGGACATTATGTCGTCACACTATTATGTGACGTCATGTGACTATCACTAAAACGTCAAAAGATACAATGTAATGTCACTTTGCCCGGAACTTTACTAGCGTGTAACGTAGTTTTAGTCTTCGCCAATCCCAGACGTTTTCGGTCACGTGACAGTAGCTGAAAAACTATTATTCCTTTCATAGGCTTTTACTAAAATAATGAATATTTTTCTGTGAAAATAGTAAAAACCCCTGCCAATATTCATTCTTAATTCAGATGCTAACAGTAAGCACTTGATTTTTAACTATTAGGGTGGAAACTTATCGTTTACACAAAGTTCCAGGTACATATCGTTTCTGCTGATTCACTTTTACCAATTGCTTCTTATGCTATTTTACTATCCTTGTCATTCTCGTTTATGTAACAGCAAAGAGAAAAGTCCAGAACGTCCAGCGAGCGCGATGGCAAGCGTGGGCTCGCCGTCGCTTCTGCGCAACTCCAGCTCCTCTACACTGCCACGTTCTCCATCCATCGCGCAGGTATAGGTCGCGGTCAAGGAACTTATACGAAATACTTACGCGACCCTCAAAATCGTTCCAAAAGCATAGTTGAATTGGTGGAATCTGTCTCGTTCTAGAAGTGTGCCCAAACAGTTGCAAGAGAAGAACAGATTCCACTTTCGTCGTTGTCGCGCTAGGAGTATTTTTCCCCCTTGTGAAGGTAGAAACAAAAATGGACTTTATGTATAACTAGTTAGAGTACATTTTTTTAATTCCCATATTGTTTCGTAAGCATTCCAGTTAGTATATAAGTTCCGTGGTCGCGGTAAACTTCTTAAACAAAACCACAGACAAATAAACTTGCGCAGTTGACGTTTTTGTATGTAAAATTGCTTTTGCTTCAGGCTTCCTTGTCCATGGTTGCCGCTCAAAAAGTTTGCCGGGATGTAAACGTACTTACCTATTTACCAATAACCTATTTTTTTATTTACCTATTTATGAAATATGTGCTGCGTTCGAGACGACGGCAATATTCTCATGTAATAACGTTTAACGAAAAAAAGTGAGTACTTTTATGATGTATTTTAAAACATCCCCTTTCGCAATCTTATTTTTCGATCATCTTTTTTACAGAATCGTATGCCGAACTCGAGAGCATCCAGCGCCACCCCAGCCGCGAAGAGGAAAGGGAAATAACTAATACTATCGTGTTTCGCTTCATTATAGTGTATTCATCCATTCTCCTAAGATTTTTCCACATAGCATGTAATATCACAATACATATCAATTCTGTATAACTATCGACGACGCTATACATTTATTAAAACACATCACTCGTAGATTTGATTTTACAGCTATACTTAATAATTTATCTGAGCGAATTAAATCGACACTAGCATTGATGATTTAAATGCAATGGATAAAATTTGTGTACAATTCCAATCATCTATACCTCATCTGATTACTATGAATATTATTTTTATGCTAATTAGCATCGTTACAATATTCCTAAACTGGATAATTATACTAAGCACCACTAGACATTTTTATCACCTCCTAAAGGTTTTTCAGATACTCATTTCTTTATCAAGATTAGGTCGAGATACACTAGAGGAGTCACAAAACAAAATCTTAAGATTATTGGATTCGATTAGCTAAAGACAGTCTACAAGTCGATAGTTATGCAAGGCTAGTTATTTTTACATTATTAGTCACAATATATTTGTACAGTGACAACCTAAGTAGATCTAATTCCTACTCCCTCTCCTTAGTGAACATCGCATGGAATCCGTTACAACATGAGCGGAGTCCAAAAGCAATGTTTATAGTTACGTACTTTTAATTTTATAATAAACCGTTGAATGAACTCATGGCTTTTATTTCAAAAGTCGAAACTTCGTAAAAACTAATGCAGTGCTAAACCGACAGCTTATTTGTTGCACTATTTTAACAATACGCTAAAGCGTATAATACCACCACTGGTATGAATGAAAATTTTACATAAGAAACGCTGTAAACAACAAAATGCCCGCTCACAGTCAGCGACGGACAATACATTTAGTGCGAGCAAAACGTAAAACGAAAATGGTGAGTAAAAAATAAATAAAAAGGTAAATATTATTCATCTGTCTATTTGCAACTTCGTGGCCAGATGACGAGAGAGAAAACATATTGTGGTACAAAAACAAAACGTAAAGATAAACCAAAGAGTATTTTGAACATCGTGTTTATGGGAGTGAAGTGAGACACATACGGCGGCTAGCTTTGGTCCATGAGGTTAGCGTCGACGCCGCCGCCTGTCGAGTCCTTTAAGATCGACTCGAAGATGGGTTGAAGGTCGGGGAACGACTTGATCTGGGTCACGAAGTCCATTAGATGAGGATTCTTCTCTGTAACATAAAAAAGAAACGTCTTTTTTTCGATGTGTTATATAACTCGGTTAATCCTGTCAGTTACTAACTTTAGCTCCGATAGTGTGACCAACTCAATTTGACATGACATAGTGATTTATATTCACATAAGAGCTATATAACATTAAATGTCGATTTATCACTGTATCATGTTGTGGTGACGCTGAATATAACGAATTGTATGACATCACATACATTCCTCTGATTTTCAGGCGTATGTGCTAGAGAAATCTTGTTCTTTTCTGCATTAGCCCGACTGGGAATTGAACCCAACTCCTCAGTAACAGGATAAAGCAAAAAAATTTAAACCTACAAAAATGTGATAAATCCTTCATGACCAGCATAGGTATTCTGTAGGATTTCTGACAAATGTCAAATATCTAATACTGGCTGCTTCTATAGATATAGCGACATTTTGTCGTGTAATGGCGTAATGCATATCAAACTAATGTCTAAAATGGCAGCTACCGAAATCGGAAGTGAGATTTTATTTTACAGAATCGCCCTATAGGTACGTCTTAAAGGCAACACCTGAGTTAAAAATCAACTCTCTACGTCCAATGAGTTAGAGTGGGCGTTGATAAGTCAGTCAATCACGAACTTTGACAGATCAAAATCAGTAATCGTATCGTCATCACCAAATTTTGTACGGTAGGTGCCAGTTTGTTCTTACGTCCTGCTGCTGGCTGCTCAGTTTTCATAGAAACTTCGACGTTGCGATACGATTACGGAGCTGTCAAAGTTCGTGCTTGAGCTCTGGCTTTCTCTCTTCATATTTATATAGAATTTTACCAACTAATTTGGCGGATCTATCTGTTACCAACTATTTTATTTCTTGTGTTAAATACCAACCAATTTTTTTTCTTTATCTAGGTTTTATAGTTTTTCGATTATTTATTCACTAAAATCACTATACCAAAATTTTCAAACAGTTGGAAGGTACGGATTGTTTAAAAAAAACCGGCCAAGTGTGAGTTGGACTCGTGCACGAAGGATTCCGTAATATTATTTATATAACATTTGACACTATATTATAATATCGTGAAAAAAACGGCATAAAATCATGTCTGTTGTATGGGAGCCCTACTTAAATATTTATTATAATTTTTATTTGATTATTTATTTATATAAGTACAACTAAATAGTCTGTGAATACTTCAAGTCTACGTCTACTTGTTGCTGTTATTGTTACAGAGCGCAAAACGGCAAAAAAATCACGTAGTTTTTTTTCAATATATTTATTCACTAAAAATTACTGTAACAAAATATGCGAATATTGGGAAGGTAAAAGTTGATTACAAAAACAGAGCCGTGTAATAATCAACTACTTAAAAAAGTACCTACCAAACGTTAAATACATAACTATTCAAGTTTTTCTACACTCAATAAAGACCACACGCCCCGATCGGGGCGCGCTCGAAAAATACCGCACGGTCGATCACCGCACGCCCCGATCGGGGCGCGCTAGCCACGGTACTATGAAGCCGTTTTTTGTGATAGTTATAGCCTACTTTTGTATTCAAAAGTTTAACCATAGATTAACTTGGCGAAATGACCTATATATAGAGCCGTAAAGCTTAAATAGCCCGCATGAATTTAAAGTTAAAAACCCCAAGCAGTTAAACATTTTTTTTAATTTACTAGCGCCATCTAGTAGAAATAAACACACACCGTAAATTTAATGTTAACCAATATATAATAGATAGCGCTAACATGCACAGTTTTAAAAAAATGTTTTATATTAGGTGTAAACCTATTTAATTAACAAACAAATACTAATGAACAATCACGCCGTAATTTAAAATGGTTTTTCTTTATTGGTTTATATAAGACACAAAACAGTTTTCTATTGGGATGAAGATTGTTTTTTTTTTCTAAATGGCTTCGCAAGCCTTGTGCATTTAGCCAATGTCAAGTGTTAAAATGTTTACAAATACTATAGCACTCGTAGTCAAAGTAATAAATCAAGACAAAATAAGTGGCAGTCAAGTCAATCCCCCTTTCCCTATGTTTCAGTAAAAGTGTGATTTTTTTGTGAGTGGATTTACTGGAACCTCCCCATGTACTTCTTGAGGGAACGTTGAAAGACACTTTCCGCTATTTTGTTTCACTTGCCAACACTTGTGCATGTTCCCGAACACTAAGTGGTTAATAATCCACCATTATTAGACACTAACATCCGCCACAACACAATTTTTAACATGAAAAACAAAACTGCTAAAGTGACGCTTCCCGATCCCGCCAAAAAGTCTGAAGATTCGATTGAAGATGGATTGTTTAAATGTTCTTCCTTTTTGTTATTTCTAAAAGGCAAGCAAAGGAATCAGTCTAGAAACCTTGTTAAGATACAGAATATAAAAAAACGCATGTACTAGCGAAAACGATCTATGGTAAACGATAACAGTGAAACAACCTTAAAATGGGCCTTCTATCTCTCTCTCTTCAAACAAAAATAACTCATGTGACTTTTTAACACGTAACAACACAGCACAAATAGGTACATGACAAAAAATTAAAATAAAAATTTACTTTTTCTTTACCTCTTTCGAATATATACTAGAATATATAATACTTTAATAGTACGTACCCGCTTCAGGTATTTGCAATAACGCCGCGGCAGCTCGCAAGGCGGACCGCTTTAGCTCGTCCTGCTTTTCGTATTCTTGCTTCACAGAGTTTGCTTTCACTTTCATTGTACACGTAGCCCGCAGCGGCTCAACCAAGCTTTCTAGTCCTAGAGAAAAAAAATAAGCTCTTGATAATTGAAAGAAAATATTCCTAATCAATCCCTAAACTTCTTAAGAAAAATCTAAATAAAAGAGTATTTCATCATCATCAGCCAATTAATGTCCCCACTGCCGGGGCACAGGCCTTCTCATTGGATAAAATAGGGAAAATGGGCCGTGACCGTCACCCACCACGCGAGCCCAGTGCGAATTGGTCGGATGCTAACGACTATACATGCAGCCGGGACCATCGGCTTAACGTGCCTTCTGAAGCACGAGCTCGAGTTAGTAAATTTTTGGTCATCCTTCCAATGACAGACTAATGCAAAAGTTGCTTAACTTCAACGATCGCAGCCGAACGCGCTTAATACTTGCGCCATCAAGCTCCTTAGAGTGATTAAGAGAAAAGACTGTTTACGATGATCAATACAACTAGTTTATATAATGTATGTTTGTAAAAAAAGACAGTCTAGTCGTGTAGAGGTAGAAGACATCATTGCTCTTTAGGGGCAGTTCACACCGAGTCGCAGTGACGCAACACGATGCGACCATTGGTTTCTCGCTGCCATAGAAAAAGAGAAGATCCACTGAGCGACTCTCTTATGAAATTGGCAACTCTCTAGAATGAGAGAAACAGAATGAAGCAGCCAGTACCTTTATTGGCCGTACTATTGGTCGCGTCTCCTACTCGACTCGTTAAAATAGCGGCGGAGACTGAAGTGTTTTATTCATATAACGATAATGGGCGAAAGTGACAAAATATTCCCTAACGTAATGAGCGGACTTTATTACAAGTATCATATCTTGGGGGTATGGTAAGGAGACAAGTGCCTAAACTTTGACACACGCCTAGATAGATCCAAACAAGCCACGCAAAGAAAACGCCTCATGTCACGCGCAAAGTGTGCGTAACTGTAATGTCATATTGTTTGAAAGCAATCAATTTGTGCGTGTTGTAGCGGCGAGCATATCTACCAAATGTAGTATATTTTGAGCGGCTTCCGTGCAGTTAATACGGTATACAGGAGTATTGACAATCAAATAACCTAAGACTGGGCGCATATGTACGGTTTCCCGATTCAGGTTTTCTGATCAAGAATACCGATCCAGAGACCTGAATGCACGTCCTTACATCATACCTATAAAATGTTCAACGAAGCACACACTATTTTTATTTTTACAAAATGGGGAAAAAACAAATTTTTGTTTCGAAAACTATCGAACAAAAAAAATTACCCATCTGCGCTAGCCTCACGGAATTCCGAATCAAAATTTCCTTATCAGGAAACCATAGATACGCGCCCAGCTTAACAGTGCACACTCACTCTGCAGTACCATGGCGGAACACAGTTGAGCTAGACGCGCGAACATGAGGGACGTCAGCATCTTCATGTCATGGTGGTCGAGCAGGCCGTCCTCCACGTGTCTCAGGAACTATCAGCGCGTTCCTATAAAAATGACACTCACTCTGCAGCACCACGGCGGGACACAGTTGCGCGAGGCGCGCGCACATGAGGTACGTCAGCATCTTGATGTCGTAGTGGTCGCGCAATCCGTCTTCCACGTGCCGCAAGAACTCAAAGACATCGAGCCGGTCGAGACACGTGCCCAGTAGCGTGTACATGCATTCGAAAGCCGCCTTGCGTAGGTCCAGCCCGTCGTCTACGGAATGCTTGAACGGGCCCATCTCCACTTCGCGTATTAACTCTTTCTGCGAATGAAACGAGAAGTGTACTTTATGTTTGCGACAAGTTTGCCAAATACAGAAAATACTTGTAAAATCACTACAGAATGTTATATTGGACTGCTCATAATATCTTCGTTAGTATTTATACTTTAGCTATAGATTTATGTATAGTGCTTTAGCTCTACGTTTACGCTCTAGCGCATTATTTATGTATAGAGCTTTAGCTCTAGCTCTATACATAAATAATGCGCAGCGCAGATTCCCTGACGGCTAGTATGAAGCTAGACAACAACACTGAAATGTTTACCTACCTTGACTTTAGTCTCGCTGTAGATGGTGGGCAGCACTTGCGGCAACAGGTCGCGAACTAGCGAGGGCTTATTGTGCGCGGCCGAATTGAAGGCAACTAAGGCGACTCGACGCACGCCCAGCTCAGGATCGCATAAAGGAACTAGTAGTTCCGACATGCAGGCGCGGAGAAGTGGATCGATCGCTTGCGGCTAGAATAAAGTTTTATTTGTTTAAATTCACCAAATCTGTTGAGTGAGTCATAGAGTAATAAAAATATAATTCAAATTCAAACTCATTTATTCAGTCTAGGCTGTTACATATAGACTGCCGGTCTTCGACGGCCCTAAGGTGGTCTGGGCGCGGCCTGACCAGCCGCGCGTCCTAGGTGCCGCTCCGGCATAGGCCACCACGTCTGGGGACTGCCTAGTACCCTAGCGCAGTCCCCCTGAGGCGCGTCGTTTTAGTGGAGTAGGATCAGTGTGGCCTTCCGCACTGGTCCTGCTTGAGTAGGGTCGGCACTGTTTCCCGTGCCGGCGAGTCCCACACACGCCATGCGCCTAGTCAGCGTCACGGTATGGTGCGTAACTGCATTTCCCCTCGTCACAAAAAAAAAAAAAAAGGCTGTTACATATAAGGGGTGCCGCCTAACACCCAACGGCACCCAAGCCAACCTCACCTGCCCGCGGTTTACCCTGCCGACCAACGGACGAGGCTCTGGCGCTCCCCACCAACCCGCACTGGGCCAGCGTGGTGGGAGACGGCCCAAAACCCCCCTAAAATGATGGTACATAATAAGAGGCCCCAAGTGCCCGGCGGTGCTGGAGTCCGTGGCGGCGCTGACGGACGCCGACTCGGAGCCGGGACCAGGGGTGCGAAGAATCCCCGGGCGGCAAAAATCCCCCGTCAAACGACCTTGGCCCTGGCAACGTACAACGCACGCACACTGCGGACCGAGGAGAAGCTGCTGGAACTGGAGGAAGAATTGAGCAGGATTCGCTGGAGTATTGTAGGACTATCTGAAGTCCGAAGAGAGGGCGAGGACACGATGGTCCTTAAATCCGGCAACCTGCTCTATTTCCGGGAGGGCGAAGATCTGTCCCAGGGTGGTGTCGGGTTTGTTGTCCACAAGTCTCTCGTGAACAATGTTGTACAGATTGGTAGTGTGTCGAATAGGGTGGCGTACCTTATACTCAGAATCACCAAACGGTATTCGTTGAAGGTCATACAGGTATACGCTCCGACCTCGACGCACCCCGACGAGGAAGTGGAAGTCATGTATGAGGATATTTCTCGGGCAATGCATGCTTCCAGGACCCATTACACCGTTGTCATGGGGGACTTCAACGCAAGGCTGGGCAAACGTGGCGATGATGAGTTGAAAGTGGGGCAATTTGGAGTTGGAATCCGGAACTTCCGAGGTCAAATGCTAGCCGACTACATGGAGAAGGAGGGACTCTTTATGATGAACTCCTTCTTCAGAAAACGGCTGCATCGAAAATGGACCTGGAAAAGTCCGGATGGCGTGACAAAAAATGAGATTGACTTCATCATGTCGACTAAGACTCGGATATTCAATGATGTCTCAGTGATCAATTCGTTCAATACGGGAAGCGATCACCGAATGGTAAGAGGCACATTGAATCTAAATGTCAAAGCCGAAAGGAATCGACTGATGAAGTCCACGCTCCGTCCTGAAGCCATCCAGATCCAAAACCCCGAGCGCTTTCAACTCGAACTGCAAAATCGCTTCGATTGCCTAGAGAGCTGCGTAGACGTGGACAATTATAATGACAGGTTTGTTGAAGCTGTCCTTACGGTGGGCTCGAAGTTCTGCAAGCCCATCCGTACCAAAAAACGTAGCAAGATCTCGGAGCCGACTCTCAAGCTTATGGAGAAAAGGCGTGAGATGGGTCTGCAGTCCTCTGAAGATGCACGTCGGCAGATTTCGAAGTCTCTGACTCGCGACATACGCCGCTTTAATACTGATCGTATTAAAGAGGCCATCGAGCGGAACAAAGGCTCGAAAGTGTTCGCAAGAAATCTGTCTCTTGGACAGAGTTTGCTGACGAAGCTGAAGACAGAGGACGGCAGAATCATTTCGTCGCAACCTGAGCTTATGGCTGAGATCGAAAGCTTCTACGGACAGCTATACGCGACATCAAGAGTACCTGTCACAAAGGCGACCGACCCAAGAGCCAAATTAACCCGACACTACACCGAAGATATCCCGGACGCCAGCCTGTACGAGATTAGTGTAGCTCTGAAACAGCTCAAAAACAAAAAGGCGCCGGTTGATGAAGGAGTTACAGCCGAGCTTCTGAAAGCAGGTGGACGACCAGTCTTGAAATCTCTTCAGAAGCTATTTAACTCTGTCATACTCGAGGGCAAAACGCCTAGCGCATGGCATAGGGGAGTGGTGGCGCTTTTCTTCAAGAAGGGCGACAGGGCCCAATTGAAGAATTACAGACCCATCACGCTCCTGAGTCATGTATACAAGCTGTTTTCGAGAGTCCTCACGAATCGTCTCGCGCGCAGGTTTGACGACTTCCAGCCTCCCGAACAAGCCGGATTCCGAAAAGGGTTTAGTACCGTAGACCACATCCATACGCTGCGGCAGGTTATACAGAAGACCGAAGAGTATAACCTGCCATTATGCTTGGCGTTTGTGGACTACGAGAAAGCCTTCGATTCGATCGAGACATGGGCCGTGCTTCGGTCACTCCAAAGGTGCCAAATAGACTATCGATACATAGAAGTGTTGCAGTCGTTGTATGAAAACGCCACTATGTCAGTTCGACTCCAGGACCAAAACACGAAGCCAATCCAGCTGCAGCGTGGTGTAAGACAGGGTGACGTTATATCACCGAAACTGTTTACAGCTGCGCTGGAAGACGTTTTCAAACTTTTGGACTGGAGCGGACTTGGCATCAACATAAACGGCGAGTACATGACGCACCTTCGATTTGCAGATGATATCGTAGTCATGGCTGAGACCATGGATGACCTTGGCACAATGCTCGGCGACCTCAGTAGGGTGTCCCAACAAGTGGGTCTCAAAATGAACATGGACAAGACGAAAATCATGTCGAATTCCCATGTCGTACCCACTCCAGTGACTGTTGGGAGCTCTACACTGGAAGTTGTTGACCAGTACGTATACCTGGGACAAATAGTCCAACTGGGTAAGTCCAACTTCCAGAAAGAGGTTAATCGACGAATCCAACTCGGCTGGGCAGCGTTCGGGAAGCTACGTAGCATCTTCTCGGAACATCTACCGCAGTGCCTCAAGACTTTGAATTTGTGCGTGTTGCCAGTGATGACATACGGAACCGAGACGTGGCCGCTTACAATGGGTCTTGTAAGAAGGCTCAAAGTCACCCAAAGGGCAATGGAGAGGGCTATGCTCGGAGTTTCTCTGCGTGATCGAATCAGAAATGAGGAGATACGCAAGAGAACTAAAGTCACCGACATAGCCCACAGAATTGCAAACCTTAAGTGGCAATGGGCAGGGCACATTGCTCGCAGGACCGATGGCCGTTGGGGCGGAAAGGTCCTCGAGTGGCGACCGCGTACCGGGAAACGCAGTGTTGGCAGGCCCCCCACAAGGTGGACCGACGATCTGGTAAAGGTCGCGGGAAGCCGCTGGATGCGGGCAGCATGGGACCGATCGTTGTGGAAATCCATGGGGGAGGCCTATGTCCAACAGTGGACGTCTTTCGGCTGAAATGATGATGAATGATGAGGCTGTTACAAGCTCTTGTGAAAGTCAAACGCCAAAAACATCAAAGTTTCTATATCTTATTTATTTCAGAATTTTTAGGTAGGTAGGTACTTTTATAACTAATTGCTATTCTCGTGAATATATTTCATAAAATTTAATCTTGTTTCAACTGCACATATAGGAGCTCTTCGAGGTACAGGTTGCAGTGGATCAAAGTTCCCGTGTAATTTTGTCTTCAAGATCCTGGTTGAGTTAATTCTCCATTGACATACTTATCTACTGAATTTGGAGGAGTGTACACATGTCGAGATGTTTTACTATTTCTAAAGAAATTATGCAACAAAACACATGTCATGGTAATTAAAGATGCTTTGGCGATATTCATTGGTATAGGCTCTGAATATGCTAGACATTATTCCAAAAGTATTTTCTGCTACACGCGAACTAGATAGTTTTTGATTGAATAATCTCTCTGGAGTACCAATAGCATGATGCCCAGGAAATGGCTTCATAATATGTGTACTCAGTGCAAATGCAGCATCTGCTAAAAAGACATATGGTAAGTTAGTGTTACTATTGGGCAAGCTACTAGGAGTTACTATTGGCAAATTAATAACATTTGTGTCAATTTTTTGCTTTAAAACACTCTTATATTATAGACTCCACCATCGCTAATCCGTCCTGGGCAACCCATATCTGCAAACATAAAGCAGTAGTCACTATCAACTAGTGCTAAGAGTACAATACTGAAATGTCCCTTTATAATTGAAGTACTTCGATGCGGTATGGGGTGGCGGTAGAATCATGACATGTTTTCCATCCAAAGCGCCGATACAATGAGGAAAATTAATTCCTTCTGCCTTTGAAAGCCATTCATCCGTAGTTTTAGGCATCTGAAAAAAAAAAGTATTTTAAAGTTCTCAAATGTTCTCAAAAGAGAACCCAATTGGTCCAGTATAAAAACGTCGTGCTACGAATCCTTCTGAACTACAGGAAGCAAGTAAAAAAATGAGTACTGCTTTTACCGCATTAAACAGCACATTGTCCAGCAAAGAAAGAGGTAAAGAAGAAGACGAATGCGATTTATTTTGTAAAATATTGGCAAAGCAAATCAAGGAGTACCCAAAACTAGAAAGGGAAGAAATAATGTATGAACTACGTGGTATTATGTTGAACAGACGTCGTCGGTACAACAGAATGATGCAGGGTAGATCATACACTGTATCTTCTCCATCACAAGTTATACTCGGTCGACCTAGCACTAGCAACAGTGTGTATTTATCAAAAACACCGTCACCAAGTTATCTAACTGACTCCTCCTTTTCATTTGAACCACTACCACAAAATGTGGTCAACCAACAATCTGAAGCAATTAACGTTCTATCACAAGAAATTATTCAACCAGAAACGAGTAGAGCGTGTTATGAAGGCTTCGGAAATGTGTTGAATGATACAGAGCAACATTAATCTTGCAACACTACATTCAGA